CGTCTCTCTCTCTCTCACACTCATATACATTTTAAGAACAGTCTAAACATTACTATATAATAAAAAAAAACTTACTAATAGTCACTTTTCTGAAGTCACACATCATTTATTGATAAATTTATAGTCGAATTATTTCATCCAACCAAGTCCAAAATATTTTACATCTGAGTTCAAGTATATATTCAGATAAAATAAAGTGACAACCATGTTATGTTGATTTTGATGAACCTGACATACTTTGTAACAAGAAAAGGTATCTGTACTCAATTGTACAAAGTTTTCGTCAAGCCAAATATACATATTACTGTACTACAAATACATTTTCAGCTCATGCTAGTGTACATATGTCGTCTACAATGCATTTAACACTACATGCATCCTGAAAAATATGGTAACAATATCAATACATACATTATAATTATAACATTAACAGATTAATAGCTGCCATGCCACCACACCCAAAACTGATATCTTAATAAAGGTAAAATTTATGCAGAGCTTAGGTCATTATAATCAAATATAAATGCTATCAAATCATAACAGTATTTACATAAACAATTCTCTCAAATGTACAAACTTGCCCTACTTTGAATCAGATATCACTTGGTCCATTCAAGCTTATTTTCTGTCACATAACATGATGTCATCATAGTATCACAACTATCAAATCTTTTCATTTTAAAAGTTGTTTCTTTACCATCCATAATACACACAAATTATTCCAAAAACTTTTCATCATCATTATATGATATAGTTGAAAGTTATCAAGTCTTAACATAACTTATAGTCTTTTTAAATTGAAGTTTGGTCCGCTATATACTTGTAACATTAACAAAGTACGGCCTTACAAAATATACATACATTTACTTGTACTTAATGCACTGTTTCATAGCTGCCAGGGTCCCACAAACATTGACAGACTAAGGCACTATACATGTACACACACATGTACATACATGCCATATTACATACATTCAGTACATAGACACTATAATAGACAGTATTACATGTATTACAGATCACCATGTAAAAGCACTGTGGCTAAACATACCATCAAGCTTTAGCTACATGCTGTACAATACAGTCACACTGTCTAAGAAGACCACCCAGGGAACCGATAAAACCTGGTCTATGTACAGTAAAACTGTCTAAGAAGACCACTCAGGGTTACTGATAAAGTCTGGTCTATGTGGACAGGTGGTCACTATAGACAGGATTCTTAATAATGCTGGTGTCAATGGGAAAATATCTCTCTTTCTTATTTTCTTATTCTTACTACTGCATCCTCACGAAAAGGCAAGCACACAATCAACTTTTTACACATCATTGCACTGGATTTACGTTGTTACTGCATATAAATGCATATGATGCATATAAATATTTACAGTTATAAATGCATTTGCACCAAAGCATTGCCAGAAAAGACATTTGACTGCACTGGTCACCAAAAGGCACTTACTTACTTAACTGAGCATATTCAACTGAAAGATAAAAATTTGTAACATAAAGAATTATTTTGTGGCAATTATATTTGTGGCTTATCATCAAATACATAGGATTTAATATTCAATTATTAATATTAGATGACATACTGGCCCATAATCATCATAATTTTCAATCAATCTCTTCATGCAATAATCTCAGTCTAAAATCGTTTGAAGGAATAAAGAATAAAATCTTTTTTTATAACTTACACTACTTATCCATCATAATACACACTAGTAGACTACATACAATGAATCGTGATCCAAATATTGCAGAGACAATACAATGCGAAGCTAGTTCTTTGAATTTTTCCTACTATAGTATAGGTTATCTTGTACAATCAAAGGCCTATCTCTTAAAGTATAGCTTAGCAATTTGAAGCTTAAATAACATCATACCTGACAATACCTGTGGCTTTTTATCTTTAACTGTACAATGTAACTTTTGAGTATCTGAGTAAAGAAGCTCTGAAATAATCCTTAACTCTCATCCTTACCAGCTACCAAGTCTACACCACCTTTTATAAGTTTTTAAACATTTGTCTTGAAAATACCAGTGATCGACTTACATTATGTACCATGTCTTTTCTTAGTCTAGGCGTTCCTATCCTAGTATAGATATCAAATCTGCTGCATCCTAAGTCTTAAAATTTGTCTTGAAAACATTGATCTTTCTTCAAGACCTAGGAAGCAAGTCTTTACATTGTACACAACTGGCAATGTCTTTTCTTAGTCAAGGACTCCCTATCCAAAGATATCAAATCTACAGCATCCTAAGTCTTAAAATTTGTCTTGAAAACTTCTATCTCTCTTTAAGATCTAGCCAGCAAGTCTTTGTAAAGTTTGCCATCCCCTTTCTCAACTCAAACATCCGAAATCTTAAAATTTGTCTAAAAAACAATGATTATGATCTTTTCTTTCTTTAAGATCTAGCCAGCAAATCTTTGTACAGTTGGCCGTCCCCTTTCTTTGTACTTAACCATTGCCCACAGGGAAAGGTCCACTGTTGGTTTGTAGCAAGATTAGTAACCTCCACCCGATCCAACAACCAATCTGCGCCAAAACCTTTATTATCGTGCTCGACGCGGACTTTCGTCAGCTCACCGAGATCTAAAGCCTCGAACTGAAAACGGTCGGTCTGTCCGCGCTCGAAAAGATCACGGAATTTCTGCTTGAGTTGTCGTTTTCCCGTGTCACCGTTTGCGCCGTAGAGGATGATCGTGACGTTGGCATCGGTTCCCGCGCCCTTCTCGTCGCTCGTAACCGTGACGATTTCATACTGGACCGGCGCTAGGTCTGGAGAAAAACAGGAAGAATTAAAAATAGAAAGGTAACATTTGCAAAGCAAATACATAATGTTTACCTTCACAATTGGTCTAGAATAACAAACTACTGCTCTGTTTATTCTTACTCAAACACAGTCATATATATGGTGACAGGTGTCTAAATCCCTCTTACTAATAAGTGCAACATGATGTAACCCAACACCAGTTACCATGTTGACAGACGTCTGGTCCTGGTCATTGACCTTATTTGTTTGGAACGGAAGAAGAAGAAGAAGAAACTGAGCAAAAACAATATGTCTTCCTTTGGAAAACACTTTGATAAAGACTAAAGTTAAACTGTCAACAGTGGAATGAATTGGGACTTCCAGTGTTGGCAGTTTTAAGTTTATTGTAGTCGTTATTTTATAATGACCATGAACTTCATGCTAAGCCTAAGACAAAGAATTATTATTGTTTGTTTGAGCCTTTGTTTATTTATGAAATACGGCCAATTGATCAGGCACTTGTCATTGATCAAGTTTACAGCCTAAGGCTAACTACTAAGAATGTGAACATAGAAAACATACATGTGACACTGTCAGTTATTGTAACAATAGACTGATTCAAATACTAGTAATTTGAATAGTTCAGACAATAAGACCACTTCAAGTACTAGAGACAATTTGGGTTTGGCTTTTTCTTGGAAGCAGAAAAAGACAATAGTGAGAGTTTGTCACATGGACTAAGTGAAGGTATCCAAGCCCATTCTTATACTACATCAGTGAATCATGAGAAATGCTGCTTACTTTTAATTGCTGTCTGCCTGCTTTCCTCTGTATCCGTCAGCTTTAGATGCCTGTCCCCCCCGGCAGGAATCCAGTGGTTGCACCCAAATATATACCTGAAGGTACAAGTAGTAATGCATCAGTTTTACCATACTTTACAAACTTAAGGCAATGTTATGTGTATACTTTGTGCAAACAATGAAACAAACAAAACAAAAACAAAGGCCAGGTGGTTGTAGACCTCACTTCTAGCAAAAAAAAAACATAAGATTTTAAAATTGAAGGATTCTGAGATTAGAATCGTGTATTGCATGCCAATCAAGTATCCTTAGATTGCTGTCCTTTTGAGTGAATGTACTGTCCATTTGTAGTATGTTCTGGCTTGAAAGGTATACTTTTTCTTATACTCAGGTCTAATGCAGTCTACTACAATGGGCCTGAAAAACAACTTTGAAATGAATGTTTGCATGAGTTTTAGATTGAGATTTCTATATTGTGTTAGACTACACAACCTTTCTTGATTATAGTACCTCAAGGAATTATAATAGAACACCCATGTCCCAAAATTGCACCTAATTTTACACAACATGGTTGGACTGAATGAAGAACCTACTTGTCTCCAGTAGAACTGTTCTCCACGATGACCTCTGACACGTGCCACTGAGTCTTGTCCCGTGACCCCGCCTTCCTGTGGCCCAAGGTCACGCCCTTCAGGGCTCCGACGTTCCGGGTTGCGAACTTGAACTCATCCGTGTGACCCCTGAAGGAGAAACAGATCAAATTACATGTACTCGTTTACATCTTAGATACTTGCTGAACTTTATAAGAACCAAAACAAATAGATAGAAGTATACATGCATTAAAATTTGCAATGACCTCCTGTATCTTTTGTTAGCATCATCAAATTATCCTATTTCTTTATGAATGATGTGATGACAGCAAATGCATGCTGTTACACACACAAAAATGCACACACATTATCATAAAGCAATATACTGAAATTATGATTTTTGTATTCATAACTAGCTGAGTTTAATAGTAAAACGTTAAACTTTATTCCAACACACAATTTACAGAGATCAAATTTTGATTGGTCATTAATTATCCTGATGAAGGCGACAGTGGTCGCTGAAAATTTGATCTCTGTAAATTTTGTGTTGGAATAAAGTTTAACGTTTTACTATGATTACTACCAACACAGATTAACTTTCATGATAACTTGCTGAGTTTGTATACATGTAAGATAGAAACGAAAATGTCAAAATCAAAACTTTTTCAGTGAAGTATAATTATCCTTAGAGATAGAGGAAGCTAGTAAACCTTTACAAAGAGATTTCTTAAGAATTGCATAAAGTTTTCTCACTGTTTGAAGTATTTCCCCTTTGCCGTGTTGTCCATGGAAAACTCCTTTGACTTGCGCAAGTCTCCCTCCAGAATGAGGAAAGCATCGTTGGTAGTTCCTGCCTCCCTTCTGTCACTCGTCACCACCTTGATGTTGTAGGCTAAAAGAAACAACAACAGGTTTTTCTTATTTGTACTGAAAGCAGTCCGACACATTTCGAAGGACATTTTAAAGGTACATATTAAATTTTAAAGATTTCGATAGAAAACATGACAAAGGGTCTCTGTCCTTGGTACTGAATGCCTTCACTTAACAACGGTTACTTTTTGAGGCCTTTTCCCAAGGACACAATATCTAGCCAGGAATGCTAGGAATCAATCCCACAACCTCTCAATCTTTTGTTCACTTTCCTAGCAACTTGGCCATCTAATGCAACTAAACTATACATTAAGTAAAGAGACTCTTTTTCACACACCCAAGTGTTTTATTCATTGGCCGTTTCGGTGACCATCTGCTGCCCTGAGGAAGGTGACAGACAATCATCAAAACATCGACTGAATAAACCTCCTGGTTGTGTAAAAAGAGTCTCTTTATTCTGTGTACTAATAATTTAGTTGTGTCAAGTTGCTAGGGGAGAAGACACAGGAGATCTAGAGGTTGTGGGTTTAAATCCTGGCATTCCTGGCTAAACGTTGTCTCCTTGGGCACTTACAAGACTTTCCTCAAGTATTCCACAAACTTTTCACAGATATATTCTACCCACCTATTTTTTCCCTGTCAGACTTGGGAGTGTCAGGACTGGTACAGACTAGTTCTCTCATGATCTGTTTGTCTTCAGGTGAGCAACAACACCCGGGATTCGAACTCCCAACCTCTTGGTCCAGAGGCAGGGTCACTAACCACTGGACTACTCACACTATTAAAATCATGCCCACCTATTTTTTCACCTATTGCCCCTCAATAAGAATTAGTGTCTCAGGGGGTTGTGAGTGAGTACCAACATTTTTTTTGTGGAGAATTCCAGACCACCTGTTGTGGTCATGTTTTAGGGACCCAATGCACGACTTGTGCCAAAGAAAGTTACCCTTCTGTACCTAAACCCTACACTTTGAAAAAAATCCTGGTGAGAACTCTGACTGCTAAAATTCTACCCACCTATTTTCTCCCTATCAGACTTGGGCGTATCAGGACTGGTGCAGACCAGTTCTCTCATGATCTGTTTATCGTCCTCGTCCTTCGCTAGCCACCGTCCACACGGGAACATGTAGGACTTGTCTGTCTTCTGGTCAAGAACCTCAATATACTCCAGGTGCCAGCCTGCTCCAAAACCTGCGGAAAGGAATGGAAGAGAATGTTATACAGTGTTTTACTGTGTTTTTTCTGCTTAGTAATGGCTGCAAGTGCATTATATATATTTGATGATCATTTCTATGTTTATTATAGATGTATGTAGGATCCTACATGTTTTTGTTAACATTGCTTTTTTTAAACATTGCATATGTTATCAATCAAGGCATGTAATGCCAATAGAAGCTGACTAGATGTATATAAGTACAATGTCATATATTTCATCAAATGAGAAATTGCTTAAATTGTCCATAGAATCTGACATCATTTGTACTTGTTTACCACCAGTTATTACTGCATTATTGTGATGTGCTTGCTTTACAAATATATTTTAAACCGATGACAAAGTCAATACAAAATAAAACTTTGCACATGAACCTAACACAAAAAGTTTAGAAACCCAATGTCAGTGTTGACCATATCTGCATAATACCATTGGCAAGCATATTTAGTACACAATGTATTCATTACACTGCATATTAATGGATTGAGATATGATCAAAAGAAATCTATTTTCCAATCATCTTGTACTCAACTTAGTATGACTAACTATTATTAACAGTAACAGTAACAGTATAAACACCCTCTGACACACTAAAAACATCACCATGCCATTTTCATACCTTCTTCGGAAACTGAGGAAATTTGGCATGCAAAAAAGTGAAGAAAAGTTGACATGAAGAAAGAAGTTTAAAGAAAGAATGTAATCATAGCAAGAAGTGAAACATACATCATATGCCTAATAAATTTTTCATGCAAAGATGATCACAAAGAACAAGATAATCATCATTCTGTAAGCCATTGAAATCTATCAATTAAAATTAGACTGCAAAGCATCTACATCATTCACTAAAAGGTATCATGCCATATCAGCTACTAAAAGTATTGAAAATATCATGACAATGGGATGACAGAAAAGAGCAATGGATTATGGCATTCATGCAAGCAATGGTACAGTCTACAGTATAGAAAGTATTCAAAAGTAGATCGCATGTGAGCAGTCTTTCTGTCTTGTATGTAATTGACTGTACGTATTGAGTAGGACCACAGGAAGAATAGCAAATAGTGTACATCAAAGAAAGACACATCAAAGTCAAGACTTGGTCATGTCTTGAACAGATGTCAGTGTATGACCAGTATGTTCTAGTTTAAGTTTTTGTTATCTTTTTGTTTATCTGAATAAAGTTTGAAAAAGAAAAGACACATCAAAGTCAATCTCTATAACAGATGAAGACCAGCCTTACCTTTACTGTCGTGCCACACCCTACACTTGTGCAGGTCTCCAAGACTCAGCATGTCCGGGAACTTAAAGACGTCTGTCTGGTTTCTCTCAAACTTGTTAGAGCTGGTTTCAGACTCCTTCAGTTTGAGTTCTCCCGAGTCTCCGTTTTCTCCGAACAGGATCAGCGAAACGTTGGCGTCCGTTCCCGCTCCACGCTCGTCTGAAGTCTTCACAGAAAGTTTGTATGTTGTTTCTGGAAGACAAAAAGGAAGTCCAGATTGTCAGTATCAACATGTGAAGGATTAACCTTCCAGAAACTACTAGTGCATGGGCAAATGAAAATGCTGCTTTTGCCTTTATGCTGGGAACATATCAGATATGTGTTATCACTCATGACTATCACAGTGGATGTTTATGCATTTGTTAGGACTTCAATCTGTGTAATATTTTGTCTGACCCTGATCTCTTCCCTCATGGCCTCAATGAAAAGTGGAGAGTCGGCAGATTTGAGGATTTCATAACTAAACAAAGGCTGAGCCAAAACTTCACCAGTAACATAGTGCATAAATTAATTGGAATTTCAACATTTTATTTCAATAATTTAACCTTAATTGGAATTTCAACATTTTATTTCAATAATTTAACCTATTTCTACCTATTTCAATGACAATAATGAATAATAATGAAGAAATAAACAGCATCAAGTTACACATATTATATATTACATTGTATTACAAAGAGATGCACATTTCTGTTTCATACTAAAGTCTGTCCTAGACTTATGAAGTGACTAAGTTTCAATGTGGATTGAGCTTGAGGAAGACTCACTCTTGATAGTTGCTTTCCCGCCGACACTAGCAGGGATGTCCTTAGTCAGCTGACCGTCTCCTTTACTCTTGGAGATCCAGTCATCCAAGATGAAGACAGACAGTTCTCCCGAGTCCTGGTTTCTTAAAGTAATCTGTGGCAAGAATGTAAAGATGTGAGCTAGAAGGTAACAAATGCATGATGTTTAGTACTGTAATACATTGTACCTTAACACGGTTTAGCCTAACAATCTACTTCTCTGTTTATTCTTACTCATGACAAACATATTCATATATAAATATGGTGTCCAGCCCTTCCACCTCTGTTCTGCCACTTGCTACAGAGTCTTGGTAATCTACAACAAGAAAGTAAACTTAAAGTTGTGAGCTAGAAGGTAATATTTGCAATGCAAATACATGATGTTTACCTTCACATGGTCTAGCCTAACAAACTACACTGCTCTGTTAATTCTTACTCAATGACAAACACATTCACATACTGTTATATATGGAGACCAGCCCCTCCAACTCTGTTCTGCCATTTGCTATACATAATAATGTAACCCAACACCACAGGGTGTCCGATACAGCACCAGTTACCATGGTGATAGCAATACCCTAGTGCTCACTTAACATATAACCAAAGACTTTTAATTACAAGTGATACATACAGCTCTAGACTTCTTGGAAGTAACCAAAGACTTGGTACAGTTATGAGAAAGAGTATGGAAGTGGAACACACAGTGCTACTAGCACACTAGCCCCCCCACCCCCAAAAAAATTATTAACAACTCACCTTTTCCAGGTACCAGTCAGGTCGATCGCCCTTCCCATTGTGACTGACTCGAATCTTCTTCAACTCACCAACATCATCTAACTCCATCTACAGAAAGAACCACGGCAGATACTTAAAAGGGTTGTAGAACCAACAGAGCAAAGCAGAGTTTCACTGATCTGAATCGCAAGACCATCACAAGCATTTGATTTAAAATGCTGTCAAATACATGGTCTATTCATTCTTGGTGGAAAACATAAAAAGGACATGCTCAAAACATGATTGTATAATTATTAAAAGAAGTTACTGGTTGGAAAAAAAGTATTTGAATTGAAGACAAAAATGCTTTTTACTGCATGTTTTAAAGTAAAGTTCTTCACTAAAATGATCAATACAAAGTTGAACCCTAACAACTATTTCTTTCCAATTGTGCATAATTATCTTTTAAAGAAACTAAAGATTATCTTACCTTAAGGATGTCCACTTTTCCCCTCTCGAACCTGTCCTCCCCCTTCTCCAGTGGTATCTCCTGGGTGGTTCCGTTAGAGCCAAATACGGTCATGGTGATTCTCCCATCAGTCCCTCCTGCACTGATGTCACCCGTGTACACAGTTACCTCATACGGCACCACTAGGGGGGAAACAAAAGTTTAACAAAATCAGATTTCAGAGTTTGAAGTGCTGTTCAAAAGTTGTTTATAACTAGAGAAGTACCATTTGCAAAGCAAATGCATAATGTTTACCTTCGTATATGGTCTGCTCTGTTCATTCTTACTCAAATACATTCACATACATGTATATGGTCAGACAGGAGTCTAACTATAAGATCGCAACATTATGTAACCCAACACCAGTTACCATGGTGACAGACGTCAACAAATCATGTCAGTCAGAGGTTAGTGTTTGGAGAAGAAGAGGAAACTGAGGAAAAACAATATGTTTTCCTTCGGTAAACATAATGAAGAATCTATGATTTGATATCTCAGTCCAAGGGTATTGTTCATTCACTCATTTATTCATTTGTTAATTCATTCATTCAATGACATTTATTCATTCATTCAACAAGAAAAAGCAGTGTAGCAAGAAGTCAAGCAAGTACATTGTTCAGTCAAACACATTTTTTTCGTGGCCATGTCATTAAGATGTTCAGGACAAAACAAATAACTGGAGACGTTTTCCTGCTATCCTTAATGTAATATGTGGATAGTGTTCAGCACCAAGGACAGGACTAAGACCTAGAAGAATCATTCATTCAACAAGAGAAAGAAAACACAATACTCGGTCATAATGAGACCATAACTTTCCTGGTATGTGGATAGCGTTCAGCACCAAGGACAGACCTAACACTCTCCATGTTACTTACTGGGAGTATAGCTGAGCATGGTACTTACTGGGAGTATAACTGAGCATGGTACTTTCTGCGTCCTGTAGAGTCAGTACACGAGATATCAGCCCATCCTCCTTGTCCTTAGCCAGCCACCTTTTGCAGGGAAAGTAGTAGTGCTTGCCAGCGGTGGGGACGTCTAGTTCCACCTCCTTTACAAACCAGCCCTGGCCTGGCAGCACACCATCATGGCCGAACTGCAGTTGTGGAAAGTAGAGGTTACATGTAGTGTATCAATTTCAAGGTACATGTATATCAGTAATTTGTAATTATACTGAATGAAGGATAGCCAACCAAACATCTAATGACTACTCCATTTGTGAAGGGGGAGTTCTTGTTAAGTTACTTTCTGTCACAATACCTTTATCATCAGAGTGACATTGAGTTTGATTTAATTGGGATCCACACTAAGCATAAATGTAACGTTATACAAGTAAAAGGCAGTGGAAGGAGAGGGATGGGCTCCACCTTCCAATACCATGCCCTAGACACAGTGGACTAACAATCCTCTGCCCCTACAGCCTCAAAAAGTAACTGTTGTTAAGTGAAGGCATTCAGCACCAAGGACAGAGACCCTCTGTCATGTTTTCAGAGTACATCGTTGAAATCAAGTATCTTCTTGACATCTCTCACATCCACTATCCACCGTTTATAAAAACAGTTACATTTCTAAGATCTACTAAATGCGTCATCATGAAAAGTTCATCTATGTTGGTAGTTAGTTAAAACTTTTGATCCAACACAAAGTTCTCTCACCTAGAGCTTTTGACCAGTCACTTTGGTCTTCCTCAGTAGACTGACCCAGTGTATGTTGATGTCACACTTTAAAGAAGCCACATGACAAGCCTCACTGGATCAGTCTACTGAGGAAGACCAGAGTGACTGGTCAAAAGCTCTAGGTGAGAGAACTTCTTTGTGTTGGATCTAAAGCTAAAGTGTTAACTCTAAACATCTTCTAGGGATTCAAACCCAGGACCTTTAGACCAGTTAAACATACCTCTATCTTCTTGACATCCCCCACATCCAGCCCTTCCACAGCGAAGGTCTCCACCGAAGCCGGCTCAAACTTGCTCTTGTCCTCCAGGTCCAGCGGGATTCGGCGTGACGTTTTCTTCTTAGCTCCCATGATGATAATGTAAGGGTTTGCATTGGTCCCGTTGTCGTCCCCACCTCCTGTTACTACTTTCACATTGTAGGGAATCACTAGAAGCAAGAAAAGTGGTGTCAAAAGTGTTTTTTTTTTCCAGAAATGGACAATAGCACATGTTAAGTTATTGGAAAGACATGATGATAATGTAAGGGTTTGCGTTCGTCCCATTGTCCTCACCACCTCTTGTTACTACCTTAACATTGTAGGGGATCACTGGAAGCAAAAAACAAAGATTTAAGGTGTCTTTTTTTTTCTTCCTTTTCAAAAGAAACAGTTACTGAAGCACATACATTTTTGTGTGGTAAGTTATTGTGAAGACAAGCACAATGATACACAATCATAGGTAACTGTTGCATTGACAACCTCTCCATTTTTATCAGACCGTGAACTTTTGCTACCATGAACATAACATGAATTACAGTTACTGACAGTTAGTATTACTCTCTTGATGGCCAATGCTAAAGAAAGCCTTATACCAGACCATACATTGTAAAATTTTTCTTGTACATTTGCAAGAAACTTCAAAGACCAATACAATAACAAACATTTTTACAAAAAGCAAATTAATGCAGTTCTACACATATCTGCATACACTGGGAGCTTGCAGTCTTTTACAATCATTATGATTGTTCTTGTTTGTTCCTGTTTCCATTGAGTTTCTTTAATTTTGGCACAGCAAGTGTCAATTTCTTAGCATATTATGTATATTTGTCACTTCTATACTTACAGGGTCCCTCTGGAATAGTCTCGTCAGCGAGAGAAGCCCGTGAGTTTTTCCTCTTCAGACTGGGACTGGTACTCTTCAGAGACAGCTGACTTCCACCGAACGAACCGGACCTGCGGGAGGAGGTGCTCGACGTGTCACCTTCATAACCCTGAACACATATGAAAACAGAAAAATATGAGTCACTTTTAGCATGAAAGTTCATCTGTGTTGGTACATGTCATTATGAAATAAAGACTAAGCTTTAACCTCCAACACTAACTACAAAGAATTGGGACTTATTGAATCCCCGGGACACTCAGTATCTTTAGAAGGGGTTAAAATCCTTGATTCTGAATTGGACTTCTTTACAAGAGGAGTGAAGGAGGCAGTCTACATAAGAGCTCACAGACCTACCCTGAACAGAGACGGGGGGCAACACAAGTTATCTGGCACGTATGACCCGCTACTACGGTCACGTGTCTCTGACGTCACGTTCCAAGAGTAGACGGGTCCATTCCGTGAACAAGGTTAATGGAGTCAACCGAAAATTTGGGGTAAGTCCCATTTTGTTGTGTTAGTGAACTGATTTGATATTGAATCTTTCAGTCTAGCAGATGCTATTTCAGAGAATTCATCCACTTTTTTTGTGTGCTAATGTAAACAACAGCCTGGATTGTAACACTCCTGGCTAATCATTTGTTTACAGCAAAGTTGCAAAGTTCTAGCTACATGCAGAAGTCCTGGTGGTGGAGAGAAGATGCCGGTGTACTCTTGTTTTGAATGACTGGAGGTTGTTGTCAGTGATCAGGCTGACCACATTGTCTGGAAGACTGTTCCAGATATCAACTGCAGTATGTATGAAGGTTCTGCCTGTGGAGTGAGTTCTAGAGACTGGCACAGTGAGGGCATGTTTTCCAGTGGAGAGACTGTTCTACCTGGATGTCTGACCTTCATCCACACACATCACCAACTGACCTTGACATAGAGCGACCTCTCAATTTTCCCATCATCCTTGTTCTTGCCCAGCCAGCGTTCGCAATGGAACACAAACGTTTCCTGATCCACAAGGTCAACCACTTCCACCTTGTCCAGGAACCACGCGGGGTTCAGAAGGGCGTTGTCGTGACGGATCTTGACCTTGAAAACCTTCCCAAGGTCAACGGCCTCAAGCTGGAACTTGTCCACCTGTGGGGAATGGAAGGAGAGTAGTCAATATTCTGAGTTGAAAAAGTCGAAAAGATTCTAGATAAGTTGAAAAAATAGACGATTCTAGAAAAAGGAGTACAGAAAAGGCTTAAAGTACAAGATCTAAAACATAATTTTACAAATAATTAATAATATAGAAAATGCACCACATTGATTTACTGAAAGTAAAACCCCAAATTACAGGTTGAAGCTATTATTGAAATAATACTTTTTTCACCAGTTTAGACATTAACTACAGGAAAACCAAAATATAATACATGTACTATAGTCAGCATCAAGAGGGTATAATATATTATAATATCAATTTAAAATTATACATCCAACAGACATCAACCCAAAAACTTAAGAATTACACCTCCTAGGGTTGTGAAAAATGACTCTTTCATAGATTCTGAAACATATCTTATACCTTCTCTGGCATTATACTAACTTCACCCACACCTGGTATTTAATCACCATTAGTCAGTATAAATTAAAACTTTACAAATTCGTGCTGTAACATCTTTTGATACAATGAAAAATCATTTACTAAACCACCAATTCTATTGTAACAGTTACTCTCTACTCTTGTTCCTACAAGCTGGTAAAGGCTTTTCTTTTATGTGGAAGTCTTAGGTCTTACCCTGCAGAATATAACTTAAAGTACATCAAGTCTTGTACAGATGTCATATACACGTAGCACCAGTATCTGGTATATACTCAAACACCGGTGCATAAAAACTACTGAAGCCATGATCATGCAATTGTGTTAAGAAGTCCTTAAACTGTGATATGGTTCTTGAATGTGTTCCCTTACATGTATATCAAGCAAAAGGAACCATAAGTCACACAAAACTCTCCTGGATGGTGACTTTTAGAACCCAGAGATTTTCAAAAGGTTTACCTCATATTCATAACTCTGCCATGCATAGGGAGGGTGGAAGGGGGGCAAGATATTTGGAAGACTGTGAGAGAGGTTTTGGCCTTACATCTTGAGCTTTCCAGCAGGGAAAGCTCTAAATAGCAAGGTCAAGTGTGATACGCAATGTGTAATAGATATGTCAATCAAGACATGTGCACAGTATCATAGAATTGTTGTGTGTTTTAGATATGAAAGAGAAAAGTTACAAACTTTAAGTTGAACAATGTACATGCTTGCGATATCATTAGATTAGGTGGCATTCCATCATGCATAACAGTTGCTAGGCTTGAGAGTAGGCTGACTCTTATGATATTTAGCAAACTTACAATATAAAAAAATACAATACTTCACAGTTACTGTACTGATTCAATACTGACTGTCACATTGTAGCATATTACAGAAGTTAGTGTCTTTCAGCAACACAGAAAAATACTAAGTTTAACTTGTTGCATGAAGTGTCAATGATATTGATTGATATTGTATACTAACAGACATTACATTGAATTGATGCTTGCATCTCACTACATGTATAAATACATGTAACGTTAGATGTATGGCAGTTGATTTCTGTTAATTATAACAAACATCACACTCAGGTCTTTCAGGATTACAGCTATTGTATGCTATCTCAAAAAAATTGAAATCTCAGAAATGTTTTCAAATTATTAAAATCTCTAAAAGTTACAACAAAGAAACATAATAGTTACTGTAAGAACTATCACAAATCATACTGACTGTTACACAACGAAAACAGTTCCTCAAACAACTGGATAGATTTTGAAAACTGTCAGACGTTTCAAGTAGCATCCATTACTTTTTGTTAGTGACTAAAAGTAGTGGATGCAACACGTACTTAAAATGTCTGACCGTTTCCAAAATCTATCCAGTTGCTTGAGGAACAATTTTCTTGTGTATCTCATTACCTGGATGTCTAACCTTCATGGACACACTGTTATTATAAAATAAAGATTAAAAAGTGAAGAGAATTCCATACCTGTCCTCGTTCGAACTTGTCCATGTGGGTCTCAGACTTGTTGAGTTTTCTCTCTCCAGTGTCTCCGTTTTCTCCGAAGATGTTGATGAAGACATTCGCGTCTGTTCCTCCCCCCTTCACGTCTCCTGTGTAGACCAGGACTTGGTACTGTTTCACTGAGAGGGGGGAAAAACAATACAATCCTTAGTACCTGAGTATCTATATCAGATCTGTATTGGTATATCCGCCCTTTGGTGTAACACACCAGCTTTGCAGGCATGCGGCAAATTGTTACACCTAACCCTTGAACATCTAACTCTAAACATTGTTTAAAGTTATCTAATGACAATGCCCCTACTGTACTTGGTGACAGCGAGTTCCACTCTGCAATAGTTCTAGGTAAGAATGAGTCACAGTGGTGTGGTATCAAATAAAAATTGGTGGCTAGGCTAGCAGACAAGAGATTGAGAAGTTGCGGGTTCGATTCCCGGTGTTCCTCCCCCTTCACATCTCCTGTGTAGACCAGGACCTGGTACTGTTTCACTGGGAGGTGGGCAAAACAGTACAGTGTTAAGTATCTGAGTCAAAGTGGCAAAAATTGGCCAAGTACTTGAATGAAAGCTCATCTGTGTTGGTTGAATCCATTGTTGTAAAGTTCAAGCTTTATTCCCACCACTTTTGATCCAATCCTGACGTCATCACGCTTCCAACCTACGTCCTCAAAAAGTAACTGTTGTCAAGTGAAGGCATTCAGCACCAAGGAGAGAGACCCCTTGTCATGTTTTCTACCTACATCTGGTTTGTTTACACCTCCACTATTGATCCCAACAAAAGGTATGATCTTTGTGTAGCCTGTACCAAGGTCCTTCCAATACTGTGCTTTTAAGAGAATGGACTAACAAGCCACTGCCCGTACAGGACTACCTTTACCTCCACTTACTATCAGGTATAATCATAGAAAATAGCAATTCCTCTGATAAATATTGTGAAAGAACATATTTCTAACTTTCCAAGGGGTTGTGTTTGGTCTCCTTTTTTAGTCAATTCTCCAGGAAGACAACCCACTGCCCCTATAGGACTACCTTTACCTTTCACTTACTATTAGGTATAATCATTATTGATAGAAATGGCAATTCCTCTAGCGGGAAAATAACAATAAACAACACATTTCTTACTCTCCAAGGCGTCGTGTTTGATCTCCTTTTTCTTCATGCTGCCGTCCTTCCGTGTTTTCTCCTCCATGATTTTGTCGGGCAGAAGTTCCCTCACGATTTCCCCGTCATCCTCCCCCCGCGCCAGCCAACGCTTACACGGGAACGTGTACGTGATCGAGCCCTGGGGGAAACGGATTAATTAAGACTTAACAACCTGCCCTGGGTTGTATATGGTGTAATAAAGCCTTGTCAGTTGCTATAACAGACAAAAATGCAACATGTTACACTAAGAGGCCGTTACACTGAGAGCCCATATGATGTAGTTTGAAATATTAGATAGTAGACCAAATTTTCATATGGTTCAAGAATTATCTTGTATGTAAAATTTTTGACTGACAGATACAAGTATTTCATAAATGTTGATATTATGAGGTTTGGTGCTTGACGCTTAGGCTTGTGCTCCAACATACAAGGTGCCAGCTTGTCAAATCATTACAAAAAAAAAAAAACGAAACGTTGTACCTTCTTGTCGTCCGTCAGTCTACGAACTTCGACCTTGTCCAGATGCCAGCCTGCTCCCCATCCCTTCCCATCGTGCCCTATTCTGACCTTCTCAATGGGGTCACCAACATCCTCCATCTAGAAAACAATTGGTACAAATTACACAGGAAATTCTAAATGAGCGTGTGGTGTCGCTTTCCTCAAACATGGGAATTCCATTAAACATTCTATCCAAGGGACGTCTCTAACCAAAGCTAGGTACTCATTTCCACCTCAGTTAACTGAGGAAAGGCGTGTAAAGTGCCTTTCCCAAGGGCACACGATTGATGACATGGTAGGATTCAAACCCAGGACCTCTTGGTTCTGAGCCGAACACTCTGCCAAGACCCCACTCGAATTGCCCTGAAGAAGGTGACAGACGGTCACCAAAACAACGGCTGAATAAAACATTTGGTTGTGGAAAAAGACTCTCTTTATTTGACAGCCCTTATTGTCATTTGAAAAGTATTATTATTTGAAGTTGGATTTTAAGATTCATTTTGTATCTCATTTTTGTTTGACTGTCATTTTTGATGTCTCAAAAAAGATTCTTCTGTATCTGAGGAATATGGAATAAAAAACTGACCTCAACAATGAAGATGTCCTTCTGGGCTTTCTCAAACTTTTCTTTCCTCTCCTTCTTGTTTCCGCAGAGACTTTTCTGTTCGGTCTGCGAGTCTCGTCCGAACAGCACGACGTAAACATCCGCGTCCGTTCCCGCGCCCGAAACGTCGCTCGTGTAGGTAATGATCTCGTACGGAACGTCTAGAATAATACAAAATTGAGTTAAAACATCAGATTGAACATGTTATTTTGAAAGCTCATCTGTGTTGGTAGTTACGTGTTAAGAGTTAAAACATTTGATCCAACACGAAGAAGTTCTCCCACATAGACCTTTCAACCAGTCACTCTGGTCTTCCTTTCACCCAGTGTTGACGTCACACTTCAAAGACGCCACGTGACAAGTCTCACTGGGTCAGTCTACTGAGGAAGACCAGAGTGACTTGTCGAAAGCTCTAGATGAGAGAACTTCTTTGTGTTGGATCAAAAGTTTTAACACTAAACATCAAAACATGTTAAACAACAAGATACGAGCTGTGTACAACTTACTTGAGGTGTGTAAAAGGAAAACAGAGTAAGAGATTAGCAACAACAGAGACAATACAGAGACAAAAATGCATTGTCCGCCACACAAAATCATACTACATTGAAAACTTACATGATGGTGAACAAATTGAGTGGGATAAAATTTGAAACTTACGGTTTGTTGCATGTTATGAGAGTTTCATTTAAGATATTTAAAACCATATACTTTTTGTTTCGTGTTCACTAAATACTACTCATAACACCAAATGATGTGTTAGTCCACTGCAAAAGCAGAAAACTAACCATCTAAACTCACGGCTACCTCACTAGTGTAACTACTACAACTACACTCAAGGCTACCACACTAACACTTTATAAAAGCAGGAATTATTGTAAGATTATTAAATCAGCTCAGCAAACTGGTACAACTCACCATTAGGCAGACAAATATATTGGAGCTACAAGCATTTTTCTTCTTGTCTGCAAACTGATTTTAGAGTAACCGGATATTCAGCACTAGGGACAGCTGCCATGTGTTGTTATTGCTAACTCTAGCTGTAATAGTATGCATTGTCCTCTTTTTTAACACCTCATTTTTTTAATGTTACAGTAAATATTAATGCACAATGTGCCAGCAAAAGCACAGTGCTATGCTGTGAGTTTTCCTCCCCTTCTATTTTGGTTCATAAGCACAAAAACTGGGTACAAGTTATTCAAGCATTTTTCTAACACTTCAATGTTCAATTGTTATTATAATAGCAAGTACTGAGGCACAATGTGCAAGTTAAAGCACAGTGCTTTGCTGTGAGTCCCCCTCTCCTTTTTACTCTACAAAAAACTGCGTACAAGTTGTTCAAGTAGTTTAGGTCTTCGTGGCTGCAACAGTTACTGTACAGTATTATCTGATTGGGTGTTTCTCCTACAGATTTTACAGACAACAAAGCCGCACAATCTAAACGGAAAAAAACATGGCAGATGCAAAGTAGAAAGCTTGAAACTGTTGCATTTTATGACTGCTTTTGATGATTTTTTTAATACAGTCAGACATACCTTTTACACTGTACTGATCATGAAAGCTATCAGCTTTGCATGAGGCATACAGGGAAGAAGAAACCAGTTGACATGCATTGATCAAGGAGTTCACCCCTACTTTGACAATGGGAAAGTCCATTATCAAACATGCAGAGATAGGGACGTAGACATTACCATTATATAAAATAGGGGTGTTTGAAACTTGTAAGCAAAGATATATTCATGCATAGAAAAGATGTATTGGGTTATTCCATTCAAAAGTTTAAGAAGGTAGCCATTGAATTTTCCTATTATAACAGAATGAAAAAGAAGGTTTTAAGTTAAAATTGAGGGTGATAATCTTGATTTGAACCATTTAAGTAAAGCGACAAGAAAATTTATGATGGAGACATTTAAACAGGAACACCCCTCTTGGCCTTTTAAATGGAATATCCCAAACAATTTGTAGTCCGATATTTACAAATACATAGAAGTTGCTAAAACGTTTGTACAAGACAGTTGTAGCATAAATATACAGCAGAATATGACACCAATGAAGAAATATACAGCAGCAAGAAGCTTTCATGCACAGGCAAGTCACAGTACAAGTTGAAGTTTACACGTGCACAATAATTAAACAGAAAAGACAATTAATGTTGTTCTAAGACTATGATCATGCCTCTAGATCTGTCAATTACAGTTACAAGCATTTCATGATTAAGATAAAAATTACAAGCATAAAAAACTAGCAACTGCACAGCTTCTAACTCTCGAGTTTCAAACTCCAAGTTTGTATGTTCTTGAGGTTCGTGTATGATCTTTAGAGAGTTACCCAACAAAAAAAAAATCCAGTCACACTGTATTACAAAGACATTTCTATAATCTAACAATTTAAATGAATGTGCAAGAGTCTGTCAGTCATCAGTTGTTTCAGTCACTATCTATAACTGTAATAATAATATTTGTGTAATATCTTCTGTTATAAAGTCTTCTGTAACTATAGTGTCTGAGTCAGCATCGGTACTGGTCTCTGTACTTGTCAGACCTGAAAATAGCAGCAAGAAAAATCAACAAATGTTTTAAAATCTGTATCATTCTGTATCTGTATAGCCAGCATAACTGCCTCTTGATGTAACACACCAGCTTTGCAGGCACACGGCGCAGCAGCAGCTGGCTACATTACTGTAACACTGAACAACTTGTTACACCTAACCCTTGAACTTCTAAACCTAGACATTGTTTAAAGCTATCTAATGACAATGCCCCTACTGTACTTGGTGACAACTCCATTCTATGATAGGTCTTGAAAAAAATGACTTGTGTGAAATGCAGCTAAGAAAAAAAGTAACATAGACCTACAGGGGTTGTACTAAATGTTCTGTCTGATTGTGTGAACTGAAGCTAGGAAAAAAGTCAAGTAGACCTACAGGGGTTGTACTCCTCTGTCGCTGTGTTGGTGGGGAAAAGTTCTTGCTCAAATTTGGGTCAGTCCAATTCTTTGTGTCAGAAATTACAGCTTATACTTACTGCAAAACATCAGCTAAATGTATGATGCCGACCTACATAATACCAGCTAGATGTTCTTGTATGATTGTGTGAAATGCAGCTAAAGAAAATAATCAAGTAGACCTACAGGGGTTGTACTCCTCTGTGGCTGTGTTGGTGGGGAAAAGTTCTCGCTCCAGTTTCCCGTCGTCCTGTCCCTTATCCAGCCACCGGCCGCACGGGAAGAACCACTTCTGACCGAGGGAGGGGGCGTTGATCTCTACACTCTCCAGAAACCAGCCCGCAAAACCGCCCTTATTGTCGTGCCAGATCCTGGTAAAAAATTTGTCCAAACAAATAATTGTTATAAGACTTTTGCATTAAGAGTAAAAGATTCTACAGCAAACAGTAGATATGTAGTCTTGATTCCTGACTGTCCAGAAACCAGCCGACAAAACCTCCTTTGTTGTCATGCCAAATCCTGGTAGAAAACAAATAAAAAATTGATCAAACAATAGAAGGCTTAAAGATTCTAAAACAAACAATAAGCGTGTAATGCCAAATTCCAGTTAAACAAACGAATGAAAAGGAGTTAATCAAACATTTTTGGGAAACAGGAGGAATAGATTCTAGTATTGGACAGCAAATTTACAAATTCAAAACTGCAATTACAAATAAACTTAACCTTTTGGAACTGACAAATATTTCACCCTTTCTAAATCCATGTAATGTTTTCAAGAAAGAACTGATCAAGAAGTAAAAATATCTTGTTCTTGTTTTTGTTTTGGGTAACAGTTTTTCGAAAATGTGACTGAATTTGTAAATAACTATTGAATTTAACTGACTTGATTTTCTTGAGGTCTCCGATGTCCACCCCTTCCAGAGTAAACTCATCCAGCTGGTTTCTCTCAAACTTGTTGGAGTTGTTCTTGGATGTCTTCAGCTGCATGATACCTGCGACAGAAGGCAAAGACACAACTACATGTAAACCTTCAGCCTGAAAATGTAGCTGTTGGGAAAGTGAACGACACTATTCTTGCAACAATTTCTCTTGCTTAGCATGAAAGTGTGATAGAATGAAGAGACTCTTTTTGCACAACCAAGTGTTTTATTCAGTCGACGTTTTGGTGACCATCTGTCACCTTCCTCAGGGCAATTCTGACTGGTTCACATTGCACTGCAGCACGCATATATGTAGATTATGTAAAATAATTGTACATTTGGGAATGCACCTGTAGCAGCGACACCTGTGCTGCAGTGCAATGTGAACCAGTCAGAAGTCACCTTCCACCTGAGGAAGGTGACAGACGGTCACCAAAACGTCACCTGAATAAAAGACTTGGTTGTGTAAAAAGAGTCTTTACTCAGGATACAGCTATAGTTACAGTACTTTACCTGTGTCGTCGTTCTCCCCGTACAGTATAGTGTAGACGTTAGCGTCTGTTCCTGCTCCCCGCACATCTCCTGTTTTCACGTTTACGTGGTAGGTCGTAGTTTGGGCTGAAATAAACACAGCAACACATAAGCAACAATGGCTTTATGCCACTTCAACAACTCAAATATCATAAAATCTATTTCACTTCCTATCTTGGTTTCTCAAAACAGTTACAATCAGCCCTTATGTGTGGGTTGTGTGGCATATTTCTAGAAAAGAATGAGTTTTTGAACACCTCAATCCTTGGATGATAACTCTGGTACTTGAAGGCATGGCTATTTCTTGTTCTTTTCTGGGCTGGTATCAGATACTTAGTGGTTGGTACATCCACCAGTTTATTAGTTATTTTGTACATCATGCATAGTCTGGACATTTTTCGTCTGTCTTCCAGCGACCCCCACTGTAGGTTACTTTTCATTTCCATGACACTAGCACCTCTTACATAGTTGTTCATACAGAATCTTGCAGCTTGGTTCTGTACCCTTTCCAGTTTATCTTTGTCTTTCTTTGTATATGGATCCCATACTGTCCCTGCATATTCTAGGTTCGGTCTTACAAGTGACGTGTATGCAAGTGATTTTACTCTCGTTGGACATGCCCACAGATTACGTTTAATCACTCCCAATGTCTGTTTCGCCTTAGTTGTGATATTATTAACATGTGTACCCCACTTCAGTCCGCTGTCACCCATGGGTATGCAGCTAAAGGAGGATTGATCCAGAAAAAAACACAATGTTGTCCTCACCCATCATCTCTAGCCCCAGTTCATCCCTCAGACTGGTTGTAGATTTTCCTTTCTTCAGAGATCGAGTCTTGTCAAACAGAGCCTTGTCCACGGGAACCAACTCTCGAGCGATCTGCCCGTCATCTTCATCTGTAGCCAACCATCGCTGACATGGGAAGTAGTACCTATGGAATGATTGTATTGATTGTTAGGCCAAACAAATTCATTTCTCTGTTTCTTCGATAAGGTGAAAATACAGCAATCAAAGAAGAGGGTAGGGAAGAAACTTGTATGAATAGTACTAACAGGAGGCCATACAAGTTTATTTCACTGGTTCTCAGACATTTTAAGGAGAAAATATAGCAAGAGGACATCATAAAGTCAGAGGGCAGGAAAGAAAACTATACATGTCTAATAGATGCCTGTGTTCACTCCATAAAACTGAGTGCACTGAGGCATAAACCTGGTTCTCTTTGTTTTCATAACGTTTGTTCTATTTATCGATTCATATTTAGCTAGGTCAGTAGCAAAGAACCTCTCCTTGACTACACGGGGAGATCAAAATCCATCCAAACTCATTACAAGCATATTGTAAACGAGAAGTTGCATGTTTAAACGAGAATTGCAATGGCTTTAAAGCTTAGTTTAGCACAACTTTTGCATGGAGTTTGCACAACTTTGTACCTAAAGTTTTGCACAAGTTTTAAACAACTTTCAAGAGAAGGTTAAACATTGTCTGTACTGTACTTATAACACAAACTGTACATTTCTCACTTTTTCTTTGCCTTCACATCCTCCACCTCGACTCTATCCAGGAACCAGGCCGCCCCCCCACCCTTGTTGTCGTGCCGAACTTTGACCTTCTTCACCTCCCCCAGGTTAATGGCTGACATGGTGAACCTGTCCACCTGTGGCAAGGGCGTTTCAAGGTCAAAACATTTAAACGAAAGAAAGAAAACATTGAGAAAAGTTTAAATTTAGCTGTTAACTTTTTATTGTACTAAAAAGATATTCTTCCTTTGAGGTCAAAAGAAGAAGGAAAGATACCAGCTATACAGTAAATAAGTTGAAATTTGCAGAATGGTAAAAATCATGCACACACATACACATACACACACTCTCATACATACACATACACATACACACACAAATATCCTTCCAAAACCTTGATTTAATTGAAAAAAATTCAAAAAATATTCAAGAACATGTCTACTCTGAATTTCAGCACCAAGGACAAACACCTTTTTCTTCAGGAATACACAGAGAAGCATTACACATAAAGATACATGTATAGATGAGTGACTTAACCATTATCTGTTGATCTGCTGTTCAAACCGTAATAAATTTATTGTTTTTTTAATCACTATACTGTATCTCACTGTTTTTTACCCAGTTATCTCTGTACATGTATATGCCTCTCTGTTTTAATGTTAAGTAAGAATTTGGGTCTTTGATGCCTAAAATAAAGACTGAATAAAAATAAGTTTTTGCAAACTCACGTTTCCCCGTTCCCACTTGTTAGTGTTAGTTTCCGAGTCCTTGAGTTCTCGCTCTCCCGTGTCTCCGTTCTCTCCGTGCACAGACAGGAAAACATTCGCGTCTGTCCCAGCACCAAACTTGTCTCCTGTGTACACTCTCACAACATACTCGTTTTCTGAAAAAAAAGGCATTTTTATTAAATGGCAAGATGCACTGGAAAGGTATATAAGTGAGAACTTCATGTCACATGTGTCATTTAGCCTGTGTACACTTGAAGAAGCCACACAGGCGAAACCGGTCGTGTGACAGGTTGAATAAAAGTTCTAAACGGGAACTATGCAGATCCAGATGTCTTACTGAGGGACGACTGCGTGAGCGAGATGTCGGTTAGCTTGAGGAATGAATCCCCCCTACTACATACATTATCTTTATTTATTAAACATTACATATTGAAAAGTCAATGCAAGTTAGTCATTAAGGTAATAAGATACAGAACAAAACTCAAGCTACTGGATACATTTTAAAGACAGTCAGATATTTCAGGTAACATCCACTACTTTTCGTCAGTGACTACATTTTTTTCAGTCAGTGACATAGTTACTAAAAGTAGAGGATGCTGCCTGAAATATCTAGTGACCACTTTCAAAATCTATGCAGTTGCTTCAATAGCTGTTATCTTCTGTTCTATGCATCTAAAAGTACATTAAATTTTGTATGTATCAATATACAAAATCTGACTTAGAGTGGTACCATCATCTCTTGTAAGGATGCTTACTAGACAGTAACATATATATTATTATATAATGTATAATGTGTTGTGCAATGTATTGTCTGTCCTCTGCTCCATACATATTTTGTTGTTACAATGATCCTAATAAACTCAAACTTACCTTGCAGAATGTTGTCTTCCAGTGGTTTCCCTGCCTCATCTGTAGGGACCAACTCTCGCACGATCTTTTTGTCATCCTCGTCTTTTGCTAACCACCGATTCACCACAAACAGATACACCTGGAAGACAGAAGAAAAATGTCCAGACTATGCATGATGTACAAAATGACTAGTAATAAACTGGTGGAAGTCCAAACTATTAAGTACCTAACACCAGCAGAGAAAAGAACAAGAAATAGCCATGCCTTCAAGTACCAGAGTTATCAACCAAGGATTGAGGTGTTCAAGAATTCATTCTTTCCTAAGAACTATCGCAGAGTGGAACTCGCTGTCACCAAGTACAGTAGGGGCATTGTCACTAGATAGCTTTAAACAATGTCTAGAGTTAGAAGTTCAAGGGTTAGGTGTAACAAGTCGATCGGTGTAATGTAGCCAGCTGCTGCCGCACCGCGTGCCTGCGAATCTGGTGTGTTACGCCGAAAGGCAGTTATACGGGCTATAAAGATACAGAAGCTGGCATGTTACGCCAAAAGGCTGTTATACTGACTATACAGAATATAGAAGCTGGTGTGTTACGCCGAAAGGTGGTTATACCGGCTATACAGATACAGATATAGATACCTCTGCGTTGCTCTTCTTCCAGTCTTCCTCTTTCTCCGAGTCACTGCTCGAGCTACTGCTGTCCTTCTTTGACTTCTTTTTCTTCTTCTCCTTCTTCTTCGATGTCTTCTTCTTTTCATCCTCGGAAGAACTCTCAGAAGAAGAGCTGTCATCTTTCTTCGATTTCTTTTTGAGAGATTTCTTCTTCTTCTTGGACGATTTTTCTTCTTCGCTTTCTGACTCAGATTCGGAGAAGCTGGAATATTTCTTAGACTTTTTCTTGTGAGAAGGGGAGCGAGAGAGTTTTCTTCTGGAGGGCGAGGTGGATTGTTGTCGCTTCAGTCCCTTTTTCTTGCCTTTTCTTTTCTCCTTTAGTTCCTCTGCGGTCGGATATCTTTGTATGACAACCTGGTGAGAAACAAATCATAGTACTTGAAATTTGTTCAACGATGACATGATAAAATAATATTATGTTAACAGACATAAAAATATAACAAACAAATGCATAATGTTCACCTGGCCTAGTACAACAAACTATAGCTCTGCTTATTCTTAGTATACTTAATCTTGCTTATTTTAATAATTCAAATGCATTCATTTCATATGTATGGTGAGCAGGCTCTCCAATTCTGTTCTGCTACATAATGTAACCCAACACTACAGGGTCTCTCCTACAGCACCAGTTACTATGGTGACAGACGTCTGGTCCAGGTCATTGACTTTATTTGTTTGGAATGAAAGAAGGAGAAGAAGAAACAAAGCAAAAACAATGTGTTTTCCTTCCGTGAATGATGCCTACCTTGTTGAGGAACCAGCCTGCTCCAAAGCTGGTGCCGTCGTGACCGATCCTGATCTTAGTGATGGGTCCAACATCCTTCTGTTCAATCTGAAGAAAACAAGAAAAAACTATCAAAAACAGCAAGACAGGGGCACAGAATATCAAGGGAACACTGATCCCTATTGTTGTCAGATTGAGAACTGTCTGTTACCATAGTGTTGGAGGCTGTGATGACTGGTTTCCATAGTGACAGAGAATCCTGAGCTCCTATTGGACTAATTTTCATAGTGATAAAGAATCCTGAGCTCCTATTGGTAGTTCTAGGAATGGGAATGGTTCTCTTGAGTTAGAGGTGTACAAATGTACGGCCACAAGCTTTCACAGGGAGGAGGCCCAATCAGGCCCTGACAGTGAAAAAATGTTCATCCCATCCAGAATTTTATCTTCAAAGTTTGGGAAAAATTGCAGAGAGTATTGTCCACTTGTCAACTTACAACTACATGACTGTATTCTATGAGATTGTCTTGATGTCATGTTTTCTGAAATTAAAGAAAAGACATCAGCAATTATTATCTTATCCCTAAACTTCAGGAAACACTGCTGAGAGTTCTAACCTTGAACTTGTCCACTGCCTCCCGTTCGAAGTTATCTGTCCTGTTCCTGAGCTGAACTTCCTCAGTCTTCCCCTTAGTCCCATAGATTTGCAAGAAAACGTTGGCGTCTGTACCTGCACCGCGGATGTCTCCTGTGTAGATGTCAACTTCATACGGAATTCCTGAGAGGGTTGGCAAGGAGACAAAGAAAATGTGAATTATTTGTTTACAGAAAGGAAATTATGTGATCTCAGTCAGATCCTAGGGTGGCAAAAGACAGTATCGTATCCTTGCTAAATTCTTTGTGATAACTGCATATTATGCATAGATTTTAATTGTGTAATTGTCTTCGAATATGTCTTAATATTGTGTTCGCCTATGTTGTTTCATATGCACAATGAAGAGTGTCACAAATCATTGTTTTTAATGCTCTATGTACTATGTAATAAGGACGAAATTCGGGTATTCAGCCTTACTGAATAAAATTTGATTTGATCCAATGGATATTGCTTGGCCAATTTGATACTGTCTTTTGCCAACTTAGGATCTCTTTGGAGATTAGTAATTATACCGGTATGTAGAGTTAGCTTAAGACCCAACATTTAAATGATGATTGCTGCAAAATTTCTAAAATCTCAATCTAATTTGCTGGTTCTTTGAATTTTTTAAAAAATTGCTTAAGAAAACCATTGCAATGAGGAAATAAATTGTTGAGGCCTAAAGTAGACATAATTCATTAACTAGTCTGACTAACTAGTCTGCCTAGTCTGCTTTATCACAAATCACTACCAGGGCTCGAAATACTGGGTGCATGTGCACTTTAGTGCACCCAAATTTGGAGCTGTGCACCCAATTGTTTTCTGTGGGTGCACCAGTGCACCCAAATATTTTTGTAGGTTTACGTATATGTCAAGATGTTAAATTTAGAGTAGTACTTTAACATCTAAGTGTCAGAAAAATAGTAAAATCATTCTTGTAGTACTTTTCTTTAGAAACAAAACATAATCAGTTTTTGCTGACATTCTAATTATTTTATCTTATATGGTGCACCCACAGAAAATTTTGTGCACCCAATTTTTTAGGTAGGGTGCACCAGTGCACCTATTCCCAAAAATGAATTTCGAGCCCTGACTACTGACATCACAGAGTTCTAAACTCAGGTTTACCTGGTTCCACGCGTATTATGGAGATTGCTGGGAGGTACGTGTGAGGGGATGTCAGTGAACAGGGTGAAGAGAAGAATGTGCAGTGGTGTTAGTACAGACAGAAACAGTCCTCATGCAAAACGGACCTTTATTTTTTCCTCACAGAAACAGAAACTTGAGAGATTCGACAGTCAGACATTCAAACACAGGTACAAGACAGGGTTCTCACCAGGATTTTTTCACAGGGTAGGGGTCAGGTCAAGTCCCCAAAATATGACCGCAGCAGGGCTCTGATATTCTCCCCACAAAATTTTGTAACTCATAACCCCCTAAGACACTGTTTCTTGCTTATTGGGGGACAGTTGTTGTTTTCCCTTTGTCATAGCTTCATTCTTAAGTAACTGTTATATTTTCATTTTTTGAAAGATTTATGAAGCTTCTACCCCCCAAAAAACACCCCTATGCTCAAATAGCCTGGTGAGAACTATGCAAGGAGTAAGGCAAAAAGCTGCCTCACAGTTTAGGCAATGCAAGGGATTGTGGATAAGGTCAGAGGTTATGGCCATTCATAAGTAAATAAGCATTCCACATGCAAAATGTCTACACAAAGAATATTTCTTGCATGCAAGGAATGTTAATCTTTGAGTCTTTGACCTTAGACCCCAATGCACATGCACACTTGGAACTGTGAGGTCACTTATTGCACAAGGCATCATTCTCTTCAATGTTGATATTCATAAATATGATTATAATAGAAATATGAAAATCAGTTTAGCATTTAAGATAATATAATATAGAATTGAGAGTATGCAGAAAGAGAAAACAGGGTCTGGGCTAGCTTCAAGTTACTCATAGTTTAAAGTTACTTTAAATTTTATTGTACAATTATCATAATTATATAACTACTTGTAAAGTCAGTTTTAACATGCTGATTGGTCAATGCAGATCACATGACCAATCAACAGGACAAAAGTGACCTTTAACCTGTTTAACAAGTCTGAACTTATGGACCAATCAAAAGTGAGGTCAGTTTTAACATGCTGATTGGTCAATGCCGATCATGTGACAATCAACATGACAAAATTGACCTCCTGAACTCCTGATGACCTCTGAACTTACGGACATCCCCTTTTATGACCTCCGTTGGGAACAGTTCGACCTCTGTCTTTTCATCGCCCTCGTCGGAAGCGAGCCAGCGGTGGCACGAGAAAACGTAGCGCTCTCCGTGGGACGGAACATCGATGTCTACCTTGTCGAGGAACCAGCCTGACCCCGGGCCGGAGTCATCATGGCCGATACGGATCTTCTCAATCTGGAACAGACCAAACAAAACAGCATTTAGAATTTCTCATTTTGCACACAAATCTTAAAGACAGACCTCAAAAACAAAAATGGAAAATATAAGAACTGCAAAGAAACTCTGAGAACTAAGATGTGGGGCTACTGGCAGGAAAAAAAACAAACTTTTCATTTTTAAATAATTATTCAAGACGGTATTCTTCTAGCCAGTACTTTGTTTGTTTGAGCTCTTTGTTTATTTGTTTATTTATTCATTTGAGCCTACCATCTTGAACAAGTCAGTTCTATCCCTCTCAAACTTGTCACTTGTCTTTTCTGACTGGTACATTTTGAGTTTGTTTGTTTGTTTGTTTGTTTGTTTGTTTGTTTGTTTGTTTGAGCCTACCTTTCCAATGTCTGCTGCCTCCAGTTTAAACAGATCAGTCCTGTCCCTCTCAAACTTGTTACTGGTGTTGTCAGACAGGTACACTTAAAGTTTGTTTGTTTGTCTGCTTTTTGCTTGTTTGTTTGTTGCTTGTTTTTTTTGTACCTACCTTTCCAATATCTGCTGCCTCCAGTTTAAACAGATCTGTCCTGTCCCTCTCAAACTTGTTACTGGTGTTGTCAGACTGGTACAGTTTGAGCAGTCCCGTGTCTCCCTTCGCCCCAAATATCTTCAGGAAGACGTCAGCATCAGTTCCTGCGTTCCTCTCGTCACCGGTCTTGACTGAGACGTGGTAGGACGTGGCTGGAAGGCAGAAATCACAGCAACGTTTAATTCAGCACCAAGGACAGACTAGTAACATCCAGTGGTTATGTCTTTACTCACATAACTGGTAATATTATATAACAGACATGTGCAGAAATCTCAGCAGTGGTTATTTCAGTACCAGGGACAGACAAGTAACATCTCAAAACTGATAAATATACAATAGAATGTGTAAATTTTTACAGTAAATCTTTGCCACTTACTCTAAAATTTACCCTTGCCTGTCGCTTCAACATATTTTGCTCGTTGCACAGTAAGACAAACACTGAAAATCATGTTACTGCAAAGTTTTTTGAAAGCACTAGAAACATTGTGGCAAAGTATTAAACCAAGTGTTAAAACTATGACTGTTTCTTGATTACAGTTACTATCTTTGGGTTCCATTGGAAACACTACAAGTTACAATGGAAGACAAAACACATGTATGTTGTATGATCACTTTGTGGAGAACTCTCAAATCCAAAAGACAAAAAAGATTCAAAATACTCTTACTAGACTATCGTAACACCATACTCTACCACAACAAGTTGGCTTAAAATTTTGCATTCTAGCCCGTATTTGACCCTACTCCACCACAACATGGCACAGAACGTGCTAAAAAAATGTATTATTCACTTGCGAGTAGCTGAGGTGTTCCCTCTGGCAGAAGGTCTCGAACAATCAGTCCATCATCCTCCCCTTTATCCAACCAGCGGTCGCACGCGAAGGTCATCTCGGATTTCATCTTACCATGTTCCCTGACGACCACTTTGTCCAGGAACCACCCCGATCCCGAGCCTGTCCCATCATGCCCTATTCTGACCTTGGTCACGTTTTTCAAGGTCACAGCCTCGACTTGGAACTCATCGACCTAGGATTGCAAATGTAGCCAAAGTTAGAAAAAATTGTTGCCTTTCTGCACAAAAGGGACATTTATTTCAAATTATAACTCTGATATCAAAACATAAAAATTGTTTCTTTGTTAATATGTCAACCTAAGATATGCAAATATGGTCAAACTTTAAAACATTCAGTAAAATTTTATGCATCTGTGACAAATGATTCTATTGGTTGACACTTTCTTCCTATCCAATCACAGCAATACATAGCAGTAAGTCGACCAATCAACTGTTTTGTCTCACCTTCCCCCTCTCAAACTTGTCCATGTTGCTGGACTTGAGCAGAGGCCTGTTTCCCGTATCGCCCAGCTCACCAAACAGGCAGACGAACACGTCCGCATTCGTGCCGGCATTCCGCTTCTTCCCAGTGTGCACCTCAACATCGTACATCACAACTAGTGAAATGAAAACACAAGTAAAGATGTTAGTTTCTATCAGGAATGTTTAGGAGTTGGAAGTTACATGTTAAGGATAAACTTTTGTTCCAACCTAGTGCTTTCGACCTGTCACTTTAGTCTTTCTCAGTAGACTGACCCAGTGAGGCTTGTCACCCAGTGTTGACGTCACACTTCAGAGAAGCCATGTGACAAGCCTCACTGGGTCAGTCTACTGAGGGAGACCAGAGTGACTGGTCGAAAGCTCTAGGTGAGAACATTTTCCTTCTGTGTTGGGACAAAAGTTTAAACATGTTAGTTTCTGGTATTCATTCTTAATAAATATAATTTTCAAACGTACATTGTACAGCCACTGACACAAACAATGAATTTTACAGTTTATCTAAGAAAACTAAAAGCATGACAAGTCTTAGACTAACCTGGCAGAGGTTTCTTGATGAGTTTTCCTTCAGCTGGCATCTCTCTGACAATCTGTCCATCATCTTCCCCCTTATCCAGCCAGCGGCCACATCTGTACAGGTATATCTCACCTGTGTCTACTCTCTCCATCTCTACCTAAAACATACATACAACATACCAGCTCAGAAAAGAACAAGGAATAGTCATGCCTTCATGTCCCAGAGTTATCAACGAAGGATTGAGGTGTTGGGAAACTAATTCTTTCCTAGAACTATCGCAGATTGGAACTTGCTGTCACCAAGTACAGTAGAGGCATTGTCAACATTGTCCAAATACTCCAGGTTAACAACTATAACATGTATTTCCACATCTCTACCTACATGTAAAACAAGGTGTTAACATACATGAATAGATCAGTAACAATCTATATTGTCAACTGGACAAGTGTTGTGTCCTTGTTAATGTCACTTTATACTACTTTCCCCACTTCACCCAGGTGTAAAATGGGTACCTAAGTTCGGTTGGGGAGGTAAAATGCAGTGGAAGGAGAGGGATGGGCTCCACCTTCTAATACCATGCCCTAGACACAGTGGATCAACAACCCACTGCCCCTACAGTCTATAAAAGTAACTGTTGTTAAGTGAAGGCATTCAGCACCAAGGACAGAGATTGTCATGTTTTCTAACTATATTTACAACTATGTGACTGTGTACTATTGATTGTTCTTTGTGTAGCTTCAAAACATCTGTGTCCATAATATCACCAGGGTCCATAATATTGCCACCTTGAGAAATAGTGTGCTTAAAGATATTTTTACTGCAACATACTTTTGGTATGCACTCCTTCACACCTCAAATGTACATACCTAGGGTATGTTGCAGTAAAAATATCTTTAAGCACACTATTTCTCAAGGTGGCGATATTATGGACCGTGGTGATATTATGGACACGGATGTTATATAGGTCCCTCTTTATTCTGTTTGGGAATGCAAGAAGTGTGGAATATACGTGTACCATACCCAAGACACAGCTTACTAACTGGTAGTATCTGTAGTGATAATTCCTTACCTTGTCCAGATGCCATCCTGCAAAGGACCCAGAGTCGTCGTGACCAATCCTGATCTTGTATGGCTTCCCTACATCCTTTATTTCAACCTATAAGTTAAAACAAACATTCAGACTACTATTGTTGGTAACTTTCTCTATCAAATACCCTTCTTGTTAATATAATTTCTACCTTAAGTTTTCTAATTATCTTATCTATATATGAACAGGAGATAAAAGCACTATTCAACAAAAGTATCCAAGACTTCCTTGTGACATCTTTAGATCAAAGACAATTTTATTCCATTCAAAAACAACCTTAAAGACTTAGATGTGGAAGATTACCGAAAGTAATATCTGAAAAATCATTAGACACATTTTTTGCATGGAAAACTTGTTCACGTGGAAAACTTTAAAAGATTTAGAAATATAAGATTGTATGTCAAGATGTGAGCCAGTGTGTTATGCCACTGGACAGCTATATTGGTTACTAGTATAAAATCCAGAACTGATACAGAAAAATGTATGACAATGTCTAATTTGAAATTTTAGTTCACCTTGAAGTTGTCTTCCTGTCCTGCCTCGAAGTTGTCCGTCTTGTTTCCGATGGAGATGTCGTCTGATTTGCCCTTGTCTCCGTATAACACGAAGTAAACGTTAGCGTCTGTACCCGCACTGCGCTTGTCTGTCGTCCATACCGTCATGTTCCATGCTACCTCTGTGGGGGGAAACAACAACTGGTTACTTCTTCTGTAAATGCCATGCAACATACAAACCACTGAGTACCTGATACCAGCCCAGAAAAGACCAGGAAACAGTCATGAATTGAGGTGTTCAAACAGTCATGAATTGAGGTGTTCAAAAGCTCGTATTTTCCAGGAACTATCATAGAGTGGAACTATAGAACTCATTGCCACCAAGCACAGTTGGGGCATCACTAGAAAGCTTTCAACAACTTCACTGTAGTTAAATGTGTACAACCTACTTCCCCTATGGCCTCAAAAAGTAACTGTTGTTACGTGAAGGCATTTGGAACCAAGGACAGAGACAGCTACAAGACTACATTTTCTAGATAGATTTGAAATTAAAGAAGACAAACTTTTAGTTTTGGTCTGTCTCATGAAGGTGGTTTCCCTCAGTTGGGAGGTTTAAGGCAGTGGAAAGACAGGAATGGGCTTCACCTTCCAATACAGTGTCCTAGATACAGTGGACTAAGAACTAACCACTACAGAAAAATGCTACAGGACTAGACTTTTAGATAGATATGGAATAAAAGAACACAAACTTTTAGTTTTAGTCTGTCTCATGGAGATGGTTTCTCTGAGTTCCCTCTCGATAAGCCCGTCTCCCTCGTCTAGAGCCAGCCAGTTCTGACACAGGAACGTCTGCTCATAGCCGGTGGAGGGGCAGTGTACCTGGACCTGGGAATAAAACAACACAACTTTGAGTTCAAATTGTTGTAACATGTTGTTGAACTGGTATCATGGACATGCCATGGGAAAGACATTTGTGAATAAGGTTCAAATTTTACTTAGTAACCAGTGGAGGGACAGTGCACTTGAACATGAGAATAAAACACCACTAGACACTAATCCAACTATGACTTGTAACACACAATATAATTTAATCTAACACGACAGGGTGTCTGTTAAAGAAGATTCAATCTTAGAGACTACATTTTAGAGAATAGCTTTAAATTTTTATTGTTACCACTGATATATATTCTGTACATAATTTGTTACAGCCCAGTTACCCGGGTACCGGTGCAATAGCTCAACTGGTAGAGTGCTCGCTTTGTAACCGGGAGGTCGTGAGTTCAAACCCCGGCCGGGTCATACCAAAGACTTTAAAAAATGGTACACACTTCTTTCTCTGCTTAGCACTCAGCACATATGAGAAAGAGTGTGGGAAGGTCAAACACACAGCACTACCAGCGGACTAGCCCCCTGCTGTAGTGCATTGCACAATTGTGTGTCGCCCAAGGGCTACGAAATGGAGATGGGCACCACCCTACGCTCAGGTAAGAGCACGGGAGACCTTCTTCTTCTTCTTCCAGTTACCATGGTGACAGATGTCTGGTGCTGGTCATTGACCATATATGTTTGGAAGGGAAGAAGAAACAGAGCAAACATGATGTTTTCCTTCTATGAGGGTGAACATAATGAAGCTTACCTTTTCACAGTACCAGCCAGGTCCAGTACCAGAGTTGTCGTGCCCAATGACGATCTTGGACAGAGGACTGAGAATGGATCCCGTCTCAACATCCAGTACGTCTGTCTTCCCTCGCTGGAACTTCCCATCCAGGTAGATTTTACCGCTGGTCTCTTCTCCGTCAACCCCCCACATCTCTATAAACACGCGGGCACTTGTTCCAGCGTTTCTCACGTCTCCAGTCTCCACTCGGACTTGGTACGGGTAACCTGTAGGGTGATGGAAAGGTCAGACAACTACTGTGGTTTACTGTGGAACAACTCTCCTTTAGCTGCCCACCCGTGGGTGACAGCTTTTTTCTTAAGTGCCATGCTGGTCCATTCTCTGGTATCATCCTCCCATCACAAAAAATATGGCCACAATCACAAGATGGTCCTTTTGCAGAGCTGGTTACAAGTACTACTCAACCCTACTATCTTTGCGTAACTCAAGACATGATTTTCACCATTTGATATATACAATGTACATGTAACTCTACAGAGGTTTAAAATGAACTGTTACAGATCTAACAGTTCTCTTAGTGTCATGCTGGTCCATTGTGCTGACTCAGGTGATTTTCACCATTTGATATACAACTGTATAGACTGAGGTTTTGGATATATTTAAAAAAACTATTCTCATACTGACCTCCCCTCTGTCCGGTTAAGAGCAAGTCTCGCTGAATTTGTCCGTCGTCCTCGTCTGTAGCAAACCATCGGTTACAGGGGAACTCGTAAACTCGGCTTAGCTGAACATCATCTACTATCACCTGCAAACGTTGGTGAAGGTTAGACATCCAGGTAATAAGATATGCCAAAAAGCAGTTACTCAAGCAACTGGATATGATTTTGGAAATGGTCAGACGTTTCAGGTACAATGTAGCATCCACTACCTTTCGTGGTGGATGCAGATTAAGTAATGACAAAAGTTAGTGGATGCTACCTGAAACATCTGTTTCCAAATCATATCCAATTGCTAGCACTTGTTGTGTGCATAACTGCAAATTATAAAGCGTGATAACTATACATTTAGATTTTGTATAATACTAACTGTGACACAGTACTACATGTACATACCTACTGAAATGCTTTATTATGTAACTAACAAGTCTCTTTATATTCAGTGACTTACCAACCTGATGGAACTATTCAAATCAATCCTACCAATAAAGAATGTTGGTCCAACATTACACTTACCTTGTCCAAGAACCATCCAGGGCTGGTACCTTTGTTGTCGTGTCCGATCCTGATCTTCCTCATCGGACCCAGGTTGGGACACTCGATCATAAATGTGTCGTCCCTGAAAAAACAAAAAAGAAAAAATTCTCAGTCACATCTAGATCTGCCATGTACAATCCTAAAATGGCAAGAAAAAGGAAATTTAAACTAGAAAAGTAACATTTGCAAAGCAAATGCATACTATTAACCTTTGCATATGGTCTGCTCTGTTAATTCTTACTCAAACACATTCAACATATATATGGTGACAGGAGTCTAAATCCCTCCTACTTTAAAATTGCAACATGATGTAACTAACACCAGTTACCATGGTGACAGACGTCTGGTACAGGTCAATGACCTTCTTTGTTTGGAGCAGAAAAAAAAAGAGGAAGAAGAAGAAACAGAGTTTTCATTCTGTTAACTTAAAGGTAAACATTAAGAATTTCATGACACTAACCTCCCCTTTTCGAAGTTGTTTTTGGAGTTGTCTAGCCTCCGTTCTCCTGAGTCTCCGGCCTCCCCAAACAGCGTGATGAACACGTTAGCGTCTGTCCCCGCACCGCGCTTGTTCCCAGTGTACGTGCTGATCTTGTACTTACTCACTGCACAACACAAACTTTTCATAAGCAAAGTATTCTAAAGTAATTTCTTATATCTTGTCCTCTTGGTCTGTCTTTAAGGAAGCTAAAATAAAGGCAAGATGCAACCACTTAACAGTTACTGTACTGTATCCATCTATAGTGTTGTAATACAAAAATTAAAACAGTTGTATGTTAAATGGTTGCGTCTTATCTATATTTTTATACTTACTAAGGTATAAATCAATCATTGTACCTAAGAGATTTCTTTCTTAAAACCAAGTCTAGTTCTATACCACAGCTGTAACTCTTATTGATGTTTTTATGATGTATTTGCACTGTACCTGGGCATTTTCTACGTCAAACTTCGTGTAGTTATTAGATTTGTACAGAAAAAACACAGCACAACATTCATGATTACAAGAAAGTTCTACTGACTTCTCCTGACAGCTGTAGGGTCCTTACTCCCCAGCAGGTCCCGCGCGATCCTCCCGTCTCCCTCGTCCTTCGCCAGCCACTGTCCGCAGGGGAAGTAAAACTTACACGCAGGGTTCTTAACATCCGTCACCACCACACGGTCTAAAAACCAGCCTGGAGCTGTTCCTGTGTTGTCATGCTGGATTCTGTGGGGAGAGAAATTCACAGTTAGGCTTAAAAAAACTTACAGGCCATTTTTTAAACATCTGTCACCACCACACAGTCTAAAAACCAGCCTGGAGCTGTCCCTGTGTTGTCATGTTGGATTCTGTGGACAGAGAAATTCATAGGTCTGTATCTAGGTATCAGTATAGCTGGTATAACTGGCCTTTGGCATAGCACACCAGCTTCACAGGCACACGGTATGGCAGCAGCTTGCTATATGACACCGAAGGACCTAAAGTAGTTACTGTAAGATGTTGCATTCCCACAAAAAAGGCACTTAACACAACTTTCCTCACTCCACCCAGGTGTAAAATGGGTAACCTGACTTCAGTTGGGGAGGTAAAAGGCAGTGGAAGGAGAGAGAAGGGCTCTACCTTCCTATACTGTGCCCTAGACACAGTGGATCAACAACCCACTGTCCCTACGGCCTCAAAAAGTGACTGTTGTTAAGTGAAGGCATTCAGCACCAAGGACAGAGACGACACTACTACTAGCTACTAGCTGAGAAAAAAGCTATATCAACTGAAACATGGATGGAACAACTGTTACAATTCAGAAGTAAATTACAATCAGCCAAATACAATTTTGATGAGTAAAGGTTTGCAAACCTTACCTGAGTTTCTGTAGTGATCCAACGTTCTTGGCCTTGATGATGAAGATGTCACTTCTTCCTCTCTCAAACGTCTTTGACTTGTGTCTGTATTGAAAGAAATTTCATAACATTTTTTAACAGTCACTTACATGTAATATTTCCCATATGTATTTTTAGTAAACAATGACTATCTGTCCATTCATGTTTATGCATGATATGTGTTTCTTAGAAAATATGATTTATAACAATGGATTGTTTATTTTGCTTTGATTTTAAACAGTTGTCTTCTGTGGTTATGGCTTAATGCTACGTTAAGTCTTACCAAGTAAAGCTTTTTAACAATGTACTGTAAATCATACATCATTTCAGCTGATAATGGCTGCTACTGTATGTTTTTGTAGAATTTGTATTGAAATAAACCATTTGTATATTCATATATAAATCTTTCTGCATCATTTACTATATTGTGACATCTCTACAAACACTACATACTGTTTGGTTTCCCCTTAATATCACTTTATGGCTTGTGAAAATAAAAGGCCTTCACTAATTATAATTACTACCCCCACTTTACCTGTTTCTGAGAGGTAACCTTGCTGTGGTCCCTTTTTTACCATATAAGGTTATGAAGACGTTTGCATCTGTTCCTCCTCCTCTGCAGTCTCCTGTTACCGTCACAACTTCATATTCTGGAAAATAAATTAAAAAATTAAAATTAGATAACACTACAGGATTGTTTTACCTAGGGCCACTGTGAAAACCTCCTTGCCCCAAAACTATTGTATCCAAAACTGTGCTTGGATCAGGAACAGTTCTGGATAATTCACCGTGCCAGATATCCTAACCTATTCAAGCATAGAACTAAATAGGCACAGTTCTGGTTACAATAGAGACTATCCAGAACCGTGCCTGATTCTAACCCTAACCCATTCAGGCATAGCAGTAGTACTGTACGATAGTAGTAGTAGTAGTAGTAGTACTAGTAGTAAGCCTTTATTTAATCTCAATAAACTTGTTCGGTCAAACACACAACCGCTTTTTAACAAGGTCAAGGGTGAGGGCGGGGTCACGGATTAGAACTAGATAGTTCAGGATACAATAAGTACATTGTTGTACTATCCAGAGTCCTATCTAATTCTTACACTAACCCAGATAGGAACAGGACACAATAATACTAATACTGTGATTAGATGAACTCTAGATGAGAGAAGATTAGATGAGAGAAGAAAAACAAATATTTCACCAAGACATACCTGTCCTTGCGTACTTGGTCCCTCCCTTAGCGTAGAGAATCCTGCTGATCTGACAGTCACTCTCGAACAGTGACAGCCAATCGTTACAGGGGAACACCCAGCTCCGCTTGTTCACTGTGTTTGTGATGGTTACTGACTCTAACAACCAGCTCTGTTTCCTCTCTAAACCATCGTGCTGTGGGCAGGATAAAACATGGGTTTAGAACAGGATAAAACACGGGTTTAGAACAGTCATTACAGGGGAACACCCAGCTCCGCTTGTTCACTGTGTTTGTGATCGTTACTGACTCCAACAACCAGCTCTGTTTCCTCTCTAAACCATCGTGCTGTGGACAGGATAAAACATGGGTTTAGAACAGTCATTACAGGGGAACACCCAGCTCCGCTTGTTCACTGTGTTTGTGATGGTTACTGACTCCAACAACCAGCTCTGTTTCCTCTCTAAACCATCGTGCTGTGGGCAGGATAAAACATGGGTTTAGATAAAACATGGGTTTAGAACAGGATAAAACACGGGTTTAGAACAGTCATTACAGGGGAACACCCAGCTCTGCTTGTTCACTGTGTTTGTGATGGTTACTGACTCCAACAACCAACTCTGTTTCCTCTCTAAACCATCGTGCTGCGGATAAAACATGGGTTTAGATACAAAATCCAAGATTTAAAACCTTTGTCTGTAACTAAAAAACTTTTCTAATATTTTTCTAATATTTTTAATAAAGTTTCTTAATATTTCTTGTGTTGGAACAAAGCTTGAACTCTATAATTTACAGTACTATGGATTCTACCAACACAGATGAGCTTTTGTTCAATCATTTCATTCATGTCATACCAACCCGAGAAAACACACGAGTTGAGAAAATTTGGTACCCCTAAACAAAAAATTGCAATTACAACATCAATTCCAATATCTGAATTTGGTATTCCAATTTTCAAAACACAAAAAAATGATAAATGTCTGAATCATTCTACACAAAATTTTGAAGCCCGGGTGATAACCATTAGTTATCACACGGGCTGGAACACCCATATCAAAAGTTATCATGGCCTAAGTATGACATACAGTCATGTAATGTAAAATATAACATCCGTACCTCTACAGTGATGGTCTCTATGTCTCCTATATCAGCTGCCCTGAGTTTGAAGGTGTGTTTTGTCCCCCTCTCAAACTTGAAGTGGGACGTCTTACTGTCCTTAACTGACCCTGACTTCTTGTACAGCCTTTTCTTGGGCACCTTTCCTTTGGTGCCCTTCATCTTAAGAAATACCTGCAGGTGGGAATAAGGAATACAATTAAATGTCATTGTTTGATGCAATTTTTATCTTAAATACCATCATCATAGTCCATGTCATCCTGGCGGATGATCAGTTCACTTAGTGAAAGACCATAATGATACAAAAATATAACATTGATTTTGAGATAATATCTGACAATGATAGTATGATTCAATCAACCTAGTACATATTTGATCCAAAAATACATCCTTTTCCAGTTATTGAACACTGTACTGTCAAAAGATCTTTCTTCAAGCTTAAGATTTCTCTCACAAGAAACATATACTTTTGAGAAGTGACTATACAATGTCATGCAATTATATGATATCACAATACAAGAATTGTATTTGGTTTTTACTGCTTTCAAAAAGTATATTTCCTGTAATTGTAATGCTGGATTAAACAAATTTTAAAGGAAAACTTAATTGCAGACCGTACCCTTGCATCTGTGCCTGCATTTTTCCTGTCTGCTGTCCTCACCACAATCTTGTACAACATGTCATTTTTTCAATGTTCAAGAAACACATACAAGTAGTTGCTTTTTGCTGTTTTACAACAGTAGATTTTCCTGAAATTGCTATGCAGAATTAAAAAAAAAAAAACTTGCAGACCGTACCCTTGCATCTGTCCCTGCATTTTTCCTGTCTGCTGTTCTGACCGTGATTTTGTAGCTCAAGAAAAACATTCTTTCCTAATGCAAGATATTACAGTATTGCCTTTTACTTGCTACATCTGAAATTGTGAATAATTATGCTGGATTAAACAAAAGGAAAACTTCATACCCTTGCATCTGTGCCAGCATTTTTCCTGTCAGCTGTCCTGACCACAATTTTGTACAACATGCCGCTTTTTCAAGGTTCAAAAACACGTACATGTCTACTGTTGTAAAACATTAAAAAGCAACTACTACATGTAGCTTTTTCAACAGTAGATTTTTCTTAAATTGTAATGCTGGATCAAACACAATAAAAACTTACCCTTGCATCTGTGCCTGCATTTTTCCTGTCAGCTGTCCTGACCACGATTTTGTACAACATGCCACTCTCCCTGCGGGTGTGTTTGCGCTTGCCAGTGGCTGAACCAGGCCGCTTGCTAGCAGCCGAGGCAGGTCGCGACCCCGGCCCGTACATTGCACGTTTTCTGGCCTGGGAAGCAAAAGAAAGAAACTGTTTTTTAATCTACAAATTGACATATCTTCCATGTTGTGTTCAACTTCATTTCACTCTCTGGAAGCTTTGATCAATCACATTAAACGTCGATGAAGGTTAGACATCCAGGTAATAAGATAGGCCAAAAAGCAGTTACTAGTACTCAAGCAACTGGATATGATTTTGGAAACAGTCAAGTAACTTGTATCCAAGTGACCATTTCCAAAATCATATCCAGTTGCTTGAGTAACTGCTTTTTGGCAATCACATTAACATTAATTCATGGTTACCGTAGTATCAATTGGTGCATTTTCACTGTATGTTTTGCATTTGTTACCCTAACACATTACATGCTTTCTGTCAACTACTCACAAATCTATGTGAATAAAAAAAAAGCAAAACAAAATGTAGAAAACTTGAGACTCACCACAGCAGAAGGAGGTCGAGGGTCGTAGCCAAACTTCCTGGCGAAGTAGTCTGACAGGTGAGGGTCACTCATGGGGTCATATGAGGGGAAGGAGTGGGGGTTGTCTACTCTGTCTATGGCACGGGCTGGGGGGGGGGAGAAAAACAACATGTTACACATCCGTGAATTATAGTTTCATCAGGTCGGTACGTCACTGAGTAAAGAGACTCTTTTTACACAACCAGGACGTTTATTCAGCCGACGTTTCATTGGCCATCTGTCATCTATAGCAGTGACACCTGTATTGTTTAATGAAAATCAGTCACAATTTCACTTCTTTCTAATCAAAATAAACTGTCCTAATTAATATTATGCCATACAGCCACTTTTAAAGCCACTTTTTAATTCCAACAGAGTGTAAGATAGCTTTTGTATCCAAGTGATGGCATTTCAGCACCATGAAATTACAATAGATACAACATTTCAAAACTCAGTTCTTCATAGAATGATGATGATGAAACAATACACCGATAACTTCTTAGTGCATAGTTATCAGCATCAATTAGAGTCAACTTGGATGTGTAGAGTTATACGCATTATAATATAATTATTATACCTTTTACCCAACCCTCTAAAAATAGATATTGATAAAATAAAACAAGTAATGTACTAGATATTGGACTTATTCTAAACTTACGAGCAAAGGGTGCGTATTTGCTATAGTGTGACTCGAGCGGTCGGTTGTGCAGTTTGACGTCGAAAGTTTTCCGTCGCGCGCGGTGCACGATGGCACTGGTCGTACGGAACTGAGGTCGGGGGTCAACATACGGGTCAACCCACTTGTCTGGTCTCGGTCTGATGGGGGCTGGAAGAAAAAGACAAAATTAATTTTAAATTTTAGTGTTTTCAGATCTGTAGGTTTCTTGAGGGAAATGAAACAAAATGAAACAGCAAAAAAAAAAACAACCTTCAGAACTCCTTTCTCAATTGATCAGTTAATCAATCAATCAATTGACCAACTAATCACTCACTCACTCAATCACTCAATCAGTTAATCAATCAATAAAACTGTAAAATCAGACAACAGAACGCAGCATACAATGATGGGAACTTGTCAAGTCAATGGTATGTATACTGTATGATATATGTTTGGAAGACTTGACATAGCTGTAACATCGATACCATTCAGGCTTTTCGTGTGTCTGCAATGTTTAATATAGTTCATGTATATAAATAAGAAAAGGAATTATCATGAATTTCAAAGTTTATCTGTGTTGCTAGTTACATGTTGAATGTTAAAACTTCTGATTCAACACAAGCTTCACTGGGTCAGTCTACTGAGAAAGACCAGAAGAACTGGTCGAAAGCTCTAGGTGACAAAAATTTCCTTGCATTGGAACAAAATTTATTAAGATCAGAAAAATAATAAAATCATACTTATACTAATTGTACCAGTTGAGAAAAATTTCCTTGCGTTGGATCAAAAGCTTTAACCTTCAAAACGAGTGCAATTGAAATTAAAGTCAAACTTCTATGAGCTAAGACCCTACCAGATCTGGACCTTGACATAGTTGTAATATCAATACCATTCAGGCTACCATTTTTGTGTGTTTGCAATTGTTTGTACATGTACCTGAAAAACAAAAGGAATTTTAAAGTCAAACTTCCATGTGTCAAACCCTACCAGATCTGGGCCGTGCTACAGCATAGGGGGGTCGTGGGTCAAGGGTCGTGACCGGCTGGGTCACGGCGGGGGGTTCCGCTGCCCACCGCATGCTGTTCCGCACCCCTGGCGACGAGTTCATGTACTGCAGCTGCGTCGGCATGGCAACAAGATTCTATTTATTTACACCTGCGGAGAAAACATAAAAATAATGGTATAGATAATACATACAAGAAACAGTCATGCCTTCAAATATCAGAGTTATCAACCAAGAATTGAGGTGTTCAAAAACTCGTATTTCCACTTTCGTAAACTGGAACTCGTTGCACCAAGCACAGTTGGGGCATCATCACTAGAAAGCTTTACACAACTCCTGCAACTAAATGTGCAAAGATTGAGTGTAACAAGATGTTCGGTGTGATATAGCTAGCTGCTGCCGCGCAGCATGCCTGCGTTATGCCAAAGGGTAATTATACTGGCTATACAGATACAGATATAGAAGAACAAGTCCAAAGACCCATCAGCAGTCTGCATTTTCCAAACTTTTTTGGCACAGGAGAACTGTTTAACTTTTTCCAGTCCTGGCTAATCTTCAGCTGAGTTGAATCACAAATTTTTTTTTTTATCGGCATGCTTTTGGAGAATGTTCAACAACTCATACACACACACAAACACATTCACACACACACACACACACACAGAGGCACACACACACACACACACTAACACACACACAGAGGCAAACATACCTGTCCTTGGTGCTGAATGCCATCCACACAATGTACAGTATGTAACTGTAGTAAAGTACACAATATACTTCACATTGTGTGGATGGCATTCAGCACCAAGGACAGAGTATGTAGTAGTGTAGCGTGGTGTTATTAACACTACCCAAGCTACATAATTATCAAGTAAGTATACTCATTATGTACTATACTTCAAGTTTGGCCTACACTAGGGGTGGGTACCGGTTCAGTCGGACCGGTTTGGACCGGAACAACATTCAAGAACCGAGTCCAAAAAACCGAAACGTGAAAACCGGATGACCGGACCTGATGTACATTTCTGTAGATTGTACACACAACACACACATCTTTAGATAATCTGGCCATGGCAGGTAAAAAAATAACCCTGAATCATACTAGATCAGCCTAAATCCATGTTTATGCGTTCAAAAACGAGAAAAAAAATGTTTCCCGGTATTTCTCTTGAAACACGGCGCTGAATATTGACGCAAAAACATTTCGTGCACGGCGAGCCCTCCCCCATATTGTTTAGACTGTGACGCAATCCCGCGTCACGTGTCGGCATTTCGCATTTCTGATTGGTTGTTGCGCCCGCTGCTGGCAGCGTCCCGGCAGCGTAGGCGGCAGACTTGAGCGAGCCGACGCGCGTGTAAACAACTTTTCTTTGTTCGATATCGGCGCTAAAATTCTATTTTCCACAACCACACATAGATATTCTAGTGAAGAAATGCATAGTTTCAAGAATCTTTGGGGAAAATATATGCTTCTATGCGGATTTTTAGCGTTTTCGACGTGATTTTGTCGTCGCTTAACCCGGAAGTGTGGACCGCGGCGTGGCTAAATTTTTAGCGTATTTTACCCTGCGTTTTACCAATCAAAACAATAAACAACCCCCGCTAAGAGAACCCTGTAACATTTTAGATCGCAGCAATTAAGTATTTGATCAAATTATTTGTGGATGTGCTGGCATTTCAGCCGTATTATTCATCGGGAAAAGCGGCCTCATGCACGGCCGTGTCGTGTACACGAAGAAATTGTGTCTCGCTTGCCAAAATATGATATACTATACTACTGTACAATAATCAGGTCCGGTTCAGGTCCGGACCTGGACCTGATCCTCTGAACCTGATCCGGACCTGGACCTGAATTTTCTATACCGGTACCCACCCCTAGCCTACACTACTATTATTTAGTATTTTTACCATATCTTAATATAGAGAAGTAAGGTTATTGTTATAGACAGCAATATTTCTTGAAATATTAAAACCTCAAGACAGGCATATTAATAACTGTCATTGAATGTATTTCATTACAATTTATCAATGATAAGAAGTCAATTATGTAGCCATGACTCACTATTAATTATCATGAATTATAGATGTCTATGTAGGTCATATTATTTCTTTTAGACTACAATAATTTTTTTCAATTCCAAGTTGTGACATGGTGGCCTTGTGGTTAGGATTGTGAAGTTATAGGTTTACAGGTCTCAATGATGTTGTTCTGTCAAAAGGCATTTTACATCGATTTCCTAATTCCTGGGAAAAAATATTGTGTTTCCTGATTCAGTTCTGAAAAAAATTAGGGTCAATAGGTAGGGATCATCTTTTTTTTTTATATTTCCCTTGTAGGGGTCCACACACAAGAAAAGGCTAGGGTCGGCAGTTTTTTCTAGGGTTGGTCGGGAAACAGGAAACACAACATTTTTTTCTGGGCCTTATTTGACTCCAGAGTATCTTGCTCAAAATAGAGACAATTATTCTCCTTGAATGGGATGTACATGTAAGTCAGCAGAAGTCCTATGTGTGAGACAAGACACACCTTGAGCATGCAAGGAATGCTTTTTGATAAGAACAGGGACCTTTCCTTTGAGTGAGTATCAAACCTTACGCAGCTTGCACCTTCTGTAGAAAATGCATATCACTAACTTATCAGTCTAACACAGATTGTGCTTACAGTACAAAACTGGTGAGTTATGCCTCAAGGTGGTTACTGTTTATTGCAAACATGAACACACTATCACTATAAGTACAGTTCCAACAGACTTCAAGTCACAGGGTATGAAACAATGTAAATCAGTTACAGCCCTCTCTTGTAATAGTGCTTGATCGTAAAGCAAGTGCTTTCAATGGTTCTCCAAATAACTTTCACTGTGCTTTACATGAGTATCACTTCAAAACTACCTGGAGTACTGTACAAATGTATCTGAGGTACTCAAACAACACTCTTCAAGCAGTGGTTAGGACTGTTTTGGACCATTTTTAGGGATTTTGAAAGACTTTTGTAAACTCTTCTTTGGAGATCCTGAACCTAACATTAGGATATATACCCCAAAGACAAGCTAACAAAATAGAAAACCATACAAAACGTCTAAAAAAACACCTAAAACACTCAAGCTTACTCTAGGAGAGTACAGCACTACTCAAAACCATCCAGTGTTTGAGAACAGGCCTGCAGTTCTTTCATCCTGTCACGCGATCTGCCTGCTTGACTCTGTTCAAGTGACTGGATAAGAAAATATTCGCCCCACTTCAGACAGGGAATTCATGTCGGTAGCTTAGCTTCAAGAGGACTGTTCAGACTCTAGTCATGGTTTAGACTACTGGGTAGATGTGTGTACAGTTTGTACAAAAACATAGGATTACTACAAGACCTGCAAAAATCACAACTTGAAGACGTACCCTTGACTTGAACTTGAAAATGTAAACTAGTGGTAAAGAAGAGATTGGAGCATTTTGGCACTATATACATGTATTAGAGCTTAAATTTCGTTCTGTATTAGAGTAGTGTATATTGAGCTAATGTTGTTGGTTATCATTATTATCAGTAGTCCTGTTTGCACTATAAAACCATACAATGTAACATTTTGTACCTTTGCACCTATTCACCAGTACTTAGCCCAATAGGGCATGAATGTACAATAAAGGTTATCTTTTACAATCATATCTATACTGAATGAGGTGCAAGTTTCAATACTATTGAATTGCTAAAGAACAGTTACTGTAATACAACTGTTCTTCAGCACAGTAAAGACAACTGTTAGTCACTGCTAAGCTGGTAGACATGTAGAGAATTGTTCTGTATGTGGGTACTGTCACTGTGTCAATAACAATGTGAAAAGAGTTTCCAGACTCAGGTGGCATTCTTTTATACAGTCAGGAACATCAGGTATTTGGGCCGGTTAAGAACCACTTTAGTGGATTAGGCATGGCTGGAGAGAAAATATGCTTGAAAGCATGAACTGGAAAAACAGGCATAAGACTTTCTCTGTTAGCTTAACTTTATAAATTTTGGATGAAAGGCATCTAGGATCATATAATTCATATCTATTATTGTGTTAGGGAATTCGATATTTTTTCTGTAGAGACCAGACATGGTCTTTATTTACATGAAACTTTGGTTAACATTAGCCTCCGTAGCAGGCTTATAGAACTGGGGTTTGGTGGTCTTCGGCTGTTTTCTGATTAGTCCAGTTCTAAAACGGGGGTAATTCAACCAGGCCGGCTATGTTGGCTATATGCAATCAGAAAATAGCACATAAAAGCTCCCAAAGACCCTGAAGACCCCAAAAACCCAGTTTTTGGCATGCTCTGGAGGCCAGGTTAAAATAATGATCAAAGCTTAAACTTCAACAAAGAGCTCCATATTACATCTCGTATGGCATACAAATGAATGGTAGAATTTTTTTGTTGTCATTTTTTTTTCAAATCTATACGAGAACTACTATCTTGCGAAGATCAGGTGTGTTGTCTGCTGTTGCTAAGAAACAACTGTCAACACCATCCAAAACATCCTGCACTGCGTCACAGTTATCTAGGTGTGGTCCATGATTACACCACTTTTGACAGTAACAAATGACAGTAGAGGATCTAGGCCGGAATTTGTATTCAGCTCAGACTCTCCCTGACTGCCACGTACATGTAACGTCATGGGTAAAAATACAGTCACAGATAACTACTAGATATCACGCAAGCTGGGAGTCAGAGATAGGAATTTTCAATATACATGACTTATTCTTGAAGCTTTATCATCTGGCTTCCTACCGCAATAATGTTGACAAGTAGGGTTACGTATCTAAAATGTGTGACAGGCTGAATAAAAGTTCTAAACGGGAACTATGCAGCTCCAGATGTCTTACTGAGGGACAACTGCGTGTGTGAGATGTTGGTTAGCTTGAGGAATGAATCCCCTCTACAATATAATGTTGACAAGTAAGGATTATGTATCTAAAAACAGTACAGGCATAGGTGAGTGGTTTTAAGCAAAATTTAGATGTTCTAAATTATCTGTGAAAAAAAAGCTATACATGAGGTAGAAAACCAATTTTTTTGAGAGGTTAAATCCTCCATAAGACCAGGTACTAAATTATATTATTAAATGCTATATTATTATTAATTAAAGTAACAGTGCAACAAGACATTATGATGGCACTAAATACTAGTACTATGTGGTGCACACTATTTTTAAAGGTGCCAAGAATTATCCTTACCCCACCAGGTATGACATAACACACCTACCTCACCTGAGTGGTCACACCTGTCCAGTTAACACCTTTCCTGGGAGACAGGTGCTCAAAGGCACGTGTGTGGCACAGGTAAAGATAAAATCACAAACATCAGACAAAACACGTTAAAGGCATCCAATGCAATTTCAGAGCATCAAAACTGGAAATATAAAGCATTAATCTTTATGATATTGATACATACATGCTTTACATTGGCACATTTCAATCAGTACTTTATACATTGTACTTAGAGTATTCAAAACTGCAGAAACAAGCCTCAAGATGAGTCCTTTATTTTATGGGTGGTACCCTAAAAATTAGACCTTTCAGTAACCATTTTCCGTCAGAATTATGGGAAATTTTGCTCCATGAGTGTCAATATACATTGGGATGGTGTGGTTTCAACTCAGTGTGTAGATAAGAAACTAGAATATTGACTTTGAAAAATCAGGTTTCCAAGCTCTAAAAACTGCACTGGATGCCTTTAAATTTGCACTGTTAGTGTTATTCTTACAAAGTACATGGCCATTGTCAGGAAAAAAAAAAAACTACAAACATGTACCAAGTATAGTACAACACCGACCTATGTAGTATCAGCGGTCAAATTACTGTAAAAACACTTGTATAAAATACAATTGCTGTTTGCACATTGTACTGTCCTTTGTTATACAGGTTGGTAAAGTGTATGTGGGCGTTTTTTTCTAGTCAAAGGTAAACATTGTATCAAAGGACAGCCAAACTGGCAAAACAACATACTTTTGGTGTTAGGTTTCAAGTCATACGTAATGAAAACTCTTTCTCAAGTTTCTGTGTGTAACAGGTAAAATACTCCAATGTGGTAAAAAAAATTCTACTTTAGAATTAAAAAAACAATTTGTACATGGTTTATTATATCTGTGTGGAAAATGTTAATTTCTTTGCCTTTTATCATAAAGAAATTATTGCTTTAAAATGGCAATCCAAATATTAATTAAGAACAGTGTATTTTCTTACAAAGATATTTTGCAGTTTCATTCTTTTGTGGTCAATATCTACAATGTGAAGTACAATTTATGACTAGTAGACCGCACAAGTTACAAATCTATCACATTTTGACAGGTACGTGTGTACACAACAGCACATAAACTCCCAACATTGACACTTTCCTTTCTAACGCCTTGTTAATTATTAAAGCTCCTGCCACCATATACCTGCCGATATGCCCACAGAAGGTGTTTACATAACAGAAGAGTGCTGCATTAAAAACCACCCAGTGAGATAAGTACAGCTCATGATCTTAACTTAAAGTATCATTTATTTCATAAATTAGACAGAACCAAACAAAAAGAATGATGGAAACTTTTTGATCTGACTATAGAATAAAATGGCTTTACAAAAAGTAAATGTTCAATGCTTTCTTGAAGCAAGGAGGATCTTGTATTTAACCTTCTTGCTTGAAGTAAACCAAAAAATTATTGTATGTGCTGTGCATAATGGACTTTGCAGTATACTAAAAATTGTATAAGTTTACTTGGTCCCCAGAATACTATTTCATCCTCACAAAATGTGATAAACGCACCACAAAAATGTGCAATAGGACATGCTGACCAACGTTGCAAAGTCAAGTTTACGTATGTGGCAAAACATCGCAGCATTAAGTGGTCTTCTACAGCTACCCTAACACTTAACAGCAATTCCTCAAGCATGCTTAAAAGCATAAATTCTCTCCCAAGTGCTCTTAGCTTGCCGCGATGTGTTATAAGAATGTTGTGTTTCCTGTTTCAGTCCAGGGACTATCTTTTTTTTTCTTTTATTAGACTTTGGTGATCTCTAGTGATCCAACTAATACATGTACAATACAGTTTAACAAAGTAAACCATACTAGTACATGAATACTCATTGTTGAAAAACTGATTGTACAATGCTTTGTCATGGAGCTAGAAAAGGTCGATCATGATCAGCTCGAAAAATTTATGTCCCTTGCAGGCTCCACAAAAAAACTCTTTAAGGGTTGGCAGGTTTTTTCTAGGGTCGGTCGGGAAACAGGAAACACATTTTTTCCTAGGTTCGCAGGGTGCGATTAGCTTGCCCCGGTGTGTTAGTAACGGTTGATTTAAGTTTGTCTTACACAGAGGTCATCTCGAGTCCAACAGTACCCGTCAGGATGACACACGTCATCACGACACTTCCACTCACCAGGACCACACGGCCGCGAAAGCATCTACAGAAATATTCACTAATTCAGCAGTAGGACATATATAGAATCAGGGCTCAAAAATTTAGGCTGGGACAAATAAAAAGTCACTTTGGGACATTTTTGGGACAATAGAAAAATCAAATACTAGTAGCCCTTCTTTAGTTGATCAGGCACACGTCCCGGCTATTGGATCTGGAAAAGTCCCCCCCGAATTTCCTGTCAACTCTGCCTGGGAGTATTGTATTGTCAATAACATTTTTCTCAGTCTATTTAGTGCTTTTATTAGAGTATGCTTTTATTATTGAACTAAAATTATTATCAAATGTGCAATTATTGCTATTCTAACCTCATATACAGTGACAAACAATGGAACGTCCAACGACCATTCATTCATTCATTCCTCACACGTTTTTCAGGTATTTAAGGTAAACAACAAAAGCCACATGCAAAAACTTCAACAAACAACCACAATTGCAGCCAAGCCCTAACTCTTTGCCAAAACAAGCTCCACCACACACAGATAGCAAAATTCCCAAACCTTAACCCCTAGTTCTACTTTATTCCTGTATAAAGTATACCTGTAACGTTATATGTTAAGTTACCACCATTCGAAATTCTGCATATGTAAGCACAAAACGACAACACTCACCTGTGCTATCCCAAAAACACTTAGTCTTCTCCCAAAAAAAAACCCTGGGGGTTGCGGGTTCGAATCCCGACGTCCGAAAACGTCGTTCTAACTTGTACTTGGACTTTCACACCTGAGTGTTTCGTGGTTACAGAAGCACGCAGGTGAAACTCAAGGTGAGTTGGACATGTTGGAATTAACAAAAATATTTGGCTGCGTTGCTAACAGCGACCGCAGTGCGCATGCCCAGTACAATTAGGCCATACCTACTTATTCTAATAGGGAGGTTTAAATCTATCAGCTACTTTTCTTTTTAAGAATAAATATACTGAACTGATTACTTATATCAATTTAAAATCAACAATTATAAACAGTTAAGTATCTTGTTGTACTCAATTCTTGAAAAAATGTGTTTTTAAATGGCAAAATAATTTTATATCAAACCCCCTGCCTTGGAAAGAAACCATGTTTGAATATTTACCAGTGACGTCACGGCTAGGTGGGCGGGGCATGTTTTGAACATTTTGCTTTCGGCAGAGAGTTGTGTTTTGGTGTCTTTTGGTCCATTTTTGCGCCGTTTCTCCACTTTCTGAGGATTTCTTTTGGTGGTAAGAGTTTTGAATGTGTTAGATGTGTGATTGGGTTTTGAAAAACACTGAGCATAAGGTGGTAAAGTTGCGTTACATGACGAAATTTGCAACAGGTATACTTTGGCCTTTTGGGTGGGAGGGGGGCTAGTTGCATCATAATATAAAACTTTCACGTATTGCTTCTCTATTACACTTATATCTGTTCTAAGGACATATAATTGCAAGAAGTTGTCTTATGCATATAATTAAGTAATCATCGCTTCTGGGAGAATTGAGTACAATTTGAATTGCCATTATAAACATAATTTATTATGGTGTACTGAAACTGTTACAAGGCTTCAATCAATAATGTGGCATTATGAATAAAACAAAAAATATAACAATTTCTGTTGACGCAACAAAATGCAGCGACTTCTACAACTATAGATACATGTACAAAGTGTATATTAGTATAAATGAATTACGTGTGAGTAGATCAAATTACAAATTGACATGTTCAAGCTCCTTGGTTGAATTTGGTGCATCATTTGCACTACTAGTTCTGAGGTCTAGATGTAAACAATAAATTCACAATATTTAATATGTTATTTCAGATAATTCAGGATGGGCGGCTGTTTACCGTGTTTACAAGGCCAGGCTGACGATTACATCGAAACTCCCAACCCAGAGGAGAGACGGCAGCAGATGCTGGAGGCAGCAGAAAAACGACAGCAAGCGGCAAGTCTTATTATTATCTTATTTTATTGTATGTATTGTTTTAGACACCGGTGCAATAGCTCAATTGGTAGAGTGCTCGCTTTGTAACCGGGAGGTCGTGAGTTCAAACCCTAGCCGGGTCATACCAAAGACTTTAAAAATGGTACACACTTCTTTCAACACACAGCACTACCAGCGGACTAGCCCCCTGCTGTAGTGCCTTGCACAACTGTGTGTCGCCCAAGGGCTGACAGAAATGGAGATGGGCACCACCCTACGCTCTGCACAAGGGCACGGGAGACCTTTCCTTTCCTTTATTGTATTGTAGTGGACTCCATTATTTTATTGTAGGGTAGAGAAGAGTAGAAGCTTCGTGCAGGTAGGACATCTGTCTAGTTGTGACCTCTCCTTTTTATGTCTCATCTAACTGATCATCATGGTAGGTTTTAGGTTTTCGTGTCAGTATCCTGAAGTTGTATTTGGCTGGGTGGTACTCCATATGTATTGTATCCACTGTCTTATATTGTAGTGGACTCCAGGAAGAATAGTGTGAGATCATAGTAAGTACTACTAACACTAATGGAGATCCTAGGCCTGTTAAAACAAGCAAACGTACAAACTTCTTACACATAGAATAAGATCCACTTGTATGTCTGTTCATTGTAGTGATGCTGAAGACATTTATGCATTAGAGGAGTTTGAATGCTGTCAGAGAGTAGTGAATTTGTTAACCTGAGAGTCTAAGCTCCACCAACATAACGAATAATATTATAAAATACAAGTATCTGTTAGTAGTATACATTGTTTTATGGGTGGAAAAGTATATTACAGTAGGTGAACATACTGTCAATTAAACAGTGAGTGAGTGTGAGTGTTATTTACCGCATAATCATGATTATGTAACCTCTACTTTCCAGAACGAGTCAAGAGGCTTGAAGGACCCAGAGGGAGTCAAGCGGGCACAGAAGAGAAAAGCAGAGGCCGAACAAAAAGCCGACATCGCAGGACCCGGGGAGGGGGGCCTCAAGTGGCAGATGGGCTGACCTTTGACCTGCAAGCACCATGTCCATATTGAAACTGAGCAGATCGGCAGAACGTACTGCACCTGTGCAAAACTTGCATTTTTCATAGTTTTTGCTGGATGTTTGGTCAACGTTGCATCAAAATTTTGCCTGTTGCAGACAATATCTTGTCCAATACAACATTTGAAAACTATAGACAGGATGTCATCATTAAATATGACCTTGAACAAGCAAATATGACCTTAAACAAGACGTTCTGTCGAAAACATAACAGCTTGTTTTGACAAAATATTTATACATAAACACACAACGAAAGTTCAGCTATGCTGGGGAGCTTTCAAGACGTACTCTGTCTCTTCTTCAACCCGATTCAGATCACGTCTTGGAGTTCTCTTGTCACGTGACTTGATGGGATAATCATGTGACATATTGTGCATAACAGATTCTGCACAGGCGCTGTACGTTCTACCGACATGCTCAAAATCGTTGAGATTACAGAATTCTAGAAAGATGCTGATTTACAGTTGGTGCAATTTTGTACTGTGAGAAAGAAATGTGGCTGTCTGTACATATGTTTGTGAGGTATGGAGGATGAAAAAGGCTGTTTTTTTTTCTAATTAAACTGTCAGTGCAAAAATATGGTATGCTGATTAAATACTAAGTTACTATTGCTCAAGAACTATCCTGGACGTAAGCTTTGGTCACATGTGCCCAGTCTGTATTAAAGAGAATTTAAACAGAACTGCATACATTGTAAAGGAAATTCTAGTACATATGAACTTCAATTTAGAGTGTACATGTAGGTAGAACTTCAAGACTTCAAATCGCCTAAAACAGTGACAAACAAACAAGAAAAGTCCCTTTTACCCAAGACAGACACGTAAGACTTAAGTCTAATAGAAAACTCGTAGTCATTTCATACACAAGTGATAGCTTACGAACAAAAGAGATTGTTTTGTATTGTCGGCAGAATTTTGCATTTTTTTGGTAACTTTTGCAATGAATATCAGTGCATAAATAAATGGAAATAGACTTTTGAAATACTGTATAACAAATAAGTGAATGTTCCAACATGCATCTAATGACAACATAGAAGAAAAGGGGATGATAGTGTGTTTTGTTGGATCATGGAGGTAGAAAAAAGAGATCTTTTCTCTACCTCCATGGTTGGATTGACAATAGAGTGCCATTATCTGAAACTAGTATGGCATTAACATTGTTTTTGCTCTTCACTGAAAAAGTATTTATTGAGATTTTCCTACCACCTTGTCTTGCCTTGTTAATGTGACTGTCACACAGTTTTGATTGCTCTTGTTATAATAAACTTGAGTTTATAAGTCATTACTGCAGAGATGTGCATTCAATTCATTTTGTCTGGCTACAAGTAGACATCTAAATACAGATGTAGAAGCCCAAATGAATCTAAGAGATTTAATAGAACGGTGTGTGTATACCATATACATGTAGTATATATTGTGTGGATGGCATTCAGCACCAAGGACAGGTATGTTTGGTTGTGTGTGTGTGTGTGTGTGCGTGCGTGCGTGTGTGTATCTTGACATAAGCTTTCATTTCACAGCTCCCCTTGCCAGATATATATATAGCACTGCAACAAGCTGGCCCTTTCAATAGCTCCACCCTACGACTTACAGTAGTACTGCAACGTCTGTGGTTCCGATCCCGATCCTTCCCTGGCTAGCTAGGCTCATCCTGTACTGCATGCTGATTTAGTCGGTTGTCAGAAAAAAATGGTCACACTCTCCCATATAAAACTCAAAATATATTACCAACTTACAGAATCTAACAATTACAAGTAGCCATGCTGGTTATATGAATTGCTAAGGTAGGGCGCGAGGTTTTGGTGCCCCAAAAAGCTATACCAAAAAGCCGGGTGTGGTCCACATAATTCACGTGTGAGTTTGAGGTCAGAAGGTGAGTGGTTACCTGAGGCAAACATTCGTGTGATGATCGGGTGAATCACTCCGGGGGGTAACGTTAACAATACAACGTTCGTGTAGATATTCATCTTGTCCTACTGCGGTATGTGACGAAGAGAAACGGAAGTCTTCTCTTTTTTTTTTTGTCTTCTTTTTCACACAGAGAAGTAACAGCTAATCTCCAAACAGATCGTTTGGTGGCTGGAAGACAGTATCGAGTATCTGGGCAAGACAGTATACATGTATTTGTCAGGGCACTATCTATAAATATAGAAAATAGTATATGATGGAGAGATAGCAGTACAACGTTAAGAATAATCCGAAGCCTAAACCACTGCTTGTTTGATCCTTGTGTACCCTTTGTATAATGTTTAGCATCGTACTATGATTACTACCAACACAGATGAAACTTCCATGATAATTGAAGAGTAGTTCTTTATACTTAAGATAGACTTCGTGCATGCATGGAGTTCTGTCAATGCATCACATTTGGTTCTTTATTTAACAAAACAGATCGGCAAAATGGAACAAATACATCACAAATAGCAGTCATCCGTTAAAAGAAAGGCTTTCGACTCGAAGAAATAGTCGAACAAAAGGCGCTGGTACTTGTACAAATGTAGCCAGTATAAACACCCTTCTTTTAATAGAAGTCAGTCCGTCTGACGACAGTTAAACGTTACACGCAGATTTAAAAAGAAGAACAGGCCCGGATAATAGCCAGTATTTAACGTACAGGTCATCGCACTTCCCTGCGCCTCAGGCACAGGTTGGCGTTCTGTTCCCGTGAGACTTCAGAACACACCTTCACCTGGGAACACCTGGTGGTCTTCCTATGACGTCTCCTCTTCAAGGACAAACTGCTGAAAGCCTTGAAAATCATACCAGAACTTCGGTAATATTTTTAGTCCAGGCAAACTGGACCCTCTATAGCCGGCCAACTCCCCTGGCCAGCTACATTATTTTTAGCGGCCAAGACTGGTGGAGACTACAATAATATAAAGTCAGAAAACAGCATCACATAACGTTAACAAGAAAACGATACCCCCAGAGGCCTTTTGTGGAAGTTAGAACATTTTAATCTCCAAGCAGATCATACGATGTCAAGGCAGTATCAATATGACCAGAGCAGCTACACGTAACGTTACCATCTTTTACGATGGTATCTTTTAATGTACAATGCTCTAGCCAAATAATGGATACTGCCTTGCCACCTTAGGATCTACTTGGAGATTAAGAACATTCTTTCTGTACCCTTGCTTTGCACCCGTTGACAACATCGCATGACGTCGTAATCCTTGGGTCACGCCCAGACCATTAGCCACAATAAGACACAGAAATCCCCAAGGTTTTCCCGTTCTTTAAAGGACTTCAAATGCCTTTAACCCAACCTGGTGTTTATATAGCGACTCCGCCCAACAACGGGTCTGAGTCATCATGGCATCAGACATGTGTAGCTTTGACCTTTCCAGTCACAATGCACGACAGAATACATAATCGTTGTTGATGATCATGATACTTCCCTTACCTGTACTTTTCTAAGAATACGTTGTTAATGATTGATGTGTTGTTCATTGTCTAACGTTATTATAATAACTAGAAATAGCTGCTTTTGGTAATTATTTAGATATAATGAATTATCTCTCATTATTCTAATCATTCTATTAGACTGTATTCTAGTAGCAAATAAAACTTATAGCAAAAGTTATATTTTAATGTTTTGCACATCACATACAATGTTCACACTTGCGAGTACTTGTGAACATTGTTTTGTTTGTTTGTTTAGTTAATGTTTATCAAAATTTTACAGCTTATAGCTATAAACTTATACCTGTATCTCTAAACAATGTTAAGTTAATTATCCTTGGTTATACTAGTATTATAGCTGATGCAACGGGCGATGGTCTGGAAACATAAAAAAGCTTCTATAATATATCACATTGTAAATAAAGAGTATAAATCTAAGATGGCGGGCGTCAGCTATCATAACTAATCTGCAGCTACACTGATCGATCAGACAGTTGTTTGTCCTTGAGATGCCCTCCCCAACATGGCGACTTTCCAAGGAACATTTCCCAAGGGCATTTTATATATATATTCAAACATGCAATCACAAGACGTGGTGATGGCACACTCAAGTTTTCTCAACTGATATTAATGCCGCCAACAACACAGGGGACAGTACAATACTCATTTTCGCCTGCGCGAAGTGAGGAAAGTCGTGTTAAGTGCCTTTCCCAAGGGCACTGACAGTACTTGTCGCATTCTATAAATTTTTAGTGGTGTCATAATTGTTCCCGGATACTTCCTGCATTCTGTTCTACCAAAGGCAACCATCCTTCAACTAAAAGGTGTTGCATAAATAATTCACGCAGGCATGCTTCCATGATAGTGACAGTCGCTGTCAGGTATTATTTCATACTTTGAAGTTGACTGATATTAATATTAACGTGTTTCAAATCCGTGGATGAATGTCAGAACAGATGAATGTGTTTTGTATTGTTTTCTATAGATCTTAAATCAGTGCCGCAATGCCGTGTAAAGTGTATGGGTTAGCCCTGGTGTTAGGTTACAGCTATCGAACACATCGAACCCCTGCATGTTCTATTGTTCTGTAATAGAACAGGTGGTTCGATGTGTTCGATCCGAATCGGTCTATAATCACTTATAGTTGTCCTATGCTGTAGTAGTTGCACCAGTTACATGTATATCTATTCTTCAACGTACATTCGATCTATGAACTGTTCAAAAGGGTTATACAATACAAAACAGTTGCATAGACACTTGAATCGTATAGCATCACAATATTTAGCAATTAATAATAGATATATGCATCATATAATAAGTTCTATAGTGCGAAAGAAAGGGGGAAACGACATTATTACAAATACAAAACATTCTTCATCAATAATGTCAGCTTTTAGAACAGATAAAAACATGACCACGCCTAATAAAATGGCGGACTAGATTTTTCACACACGCATAAAACACAATAGCGTGTCTGTCTGTGACACTGGAGGTCAACTCGTCAACCTGGGCGTGTTACACAATTAGAACATAGCACAGGTCATTGCCATGGCAACAAGGGGTCAACAAGGAGTGTAAACATTGGGTTCTCTTTATTTGTCATACTTCGTTGTACGTAACGATTTAGACTATACTAGAGTATTCGTACAAATAAAGTTCTAAATCGTAAATGTTGAAATGAGATCCATATTTTCACAGTCTGATATTCTTAATATTACTGGTAATCGTACAAAGCTCTAAATCGTCAATGTTGAAATAAAATTCACATATTCACAGTCTGATGTTCTGAATAACATTTTCTTCAGAAGTTAAATATTTCGGTACGGATTTTTAATGGTACATACGCTCTACTGGCTCTAAACAAAGGTAGTGTTGGTGTCTTTACAATTAAGTACACTTGCATGTAATGAATCAAGTAGGTTGATTATTTTAAACCTTCTTGAATGAATTGTGCCTTTACAATACAAATACATGCAAGTCGCTACTACTGCGTACGTGAAGCGGTATTCACCAAGCCCCATTGCATGTATATTAAAAACATGTTTGCTGTAAGTTACAAGTATTAAATGGAGTTTACAAAAACAGCTACAACTCTGACCTTGCTAACATGAAACTAGTCTCCACCAGACTCCTTTGCTGGCTGAAGAAATAGTAGAATTCGGCCTAAAAACTAAAAAAAGGTAGCTGACCAGAGGAGTTGGCCGACCATAGAGGGTCCAGTTTGCCTGCATATGCTACATTCAACTTTTAGGCCGATTTCTACTATTTATTCAGCCTGCAAAAGAGGCTGGTGTAGCCTCTACCAGGCACCGCGGATCGCTGGAAAGATAATAGAAATTGGCCGAAATAAAGGGATCATAGTATACCAGAGAAGATTCCGGGCAATAGATCCGTGGATCGCGAATTGGATCTTCTACGGCCCGGGATCTTCTCTGGTATACTATCCCTTTATTTCGGCCAATTTCGACTATTTTTCCAGCGATCCGCGGTGCCTGGTAGAGGCTACGTCTGGTGGCAACTTCAACCATGAAACGTTGACACAAATCGCGTGTCGTGTCGCCCCTCAGGTGACAATAGTGTCTGCTGTATCCATTGTGACGTGAAATTGATAAATACTCTTCTGTCCTACATCAATTATATCGATTAACTCCTAGATAAATATTTACAAAAGCCTTGTCTAAGCATCACTCCTACAAGCTCGTACAAATTCCTTTCTCATGTATCTGGCACAGGTGGTGTTCTCACGTATTTTCTAGCCTCCGTAGCAGGCTTATAGAACTGGGGGTTTGGTGGTCTTCGGTTGTTTTCTGATTTACCCAGTGCAAAAACCGGGGTAATTCAACCAGGCCGGCTATGTTGTCTATATGCAATCAGAAAATAGCACATAAAAGCTCCCAAAGACCCCCCAAATCCCCAGTTTTTAGCATGATATGGAGGCTACGTATTTTCGCCTTTTGGAATAGATAAAAGCAACCGGTATTTCCGTTCCAGGGTGTAAGAAAAGTCTAATATAATAACATCCGCTTGTACTAACCCTGTCCTGAAATATTTAACACGTCCGTTCTCTCCAAGGATTTGAAGAACATAGCGGTTTTCTTGTTTCGTTTATATCTATTCTATCAGGGGAATAAACTGTTGTGTAGAACAATAAGATGCCCCCGGGCGTTTTAGATATGGAGATACTGAAATTATTGTAATACTGAAGTACTGACCTTTTAAATCAAGGACAACATCCTTTGAAAACGACCGTTTTCGTTGTTTCCGTTGAAATATTGATACATGACGCTGTGTATACTATTTCAGAGCAATTTTCTCGTCAAAGAATTGTTTTTCCAAAAAAAATCAGTTCTCATTCGGAGATTGGGTCAGATCTAGACACGATTATGTACAAGTACCGTCGAAAAAGAAGTCCTTGGCGAAGAGATTGTACTGAAAAAATTGCTGTTTCTGTTAAAATATTGATATATTTTTTCAGGACAATTTGTTTACCCTCTACCAGGCTTCGGGAAGCGGCTGGAAAGAGCAGAATTCGGTCAAATAGAGAGATAACATGCCAGGGGAGTTGGTCCGCTAGACAGAACAGTTTGCCAACTCTCCTGGCATATCATTTGTCTATTTGTCTGATTTCTACTCTTTCCAGCCGCTTCCTGAAGCCTGATAGAAGCTAAATTTCTTCACCAAAGACTTGTTTTTCAACACAGAAAGAAAATTCTTCAGTTCCTGGGTCAGATCTCCACCCGATCTCGGCTCTGTACAGGTACCGGCTTGAAGGAGCTCGACCCTCGGTAGGTGGGCCACTCTTCGTCCGAGTCCGATACAAAGACAGACCGCTGTTGGCCCGCGCTACCAACACGGGACCTACTCTCGTTTCCAGAATGCTCGAACAGGTCATAATCAATGTTATCCAACTCGTCTTGGTGTACGGAATACGACTGTTTCTTCCCTCCACTCTTGGACGAATGCCGCGACCTCTTCGACTTAGTCGACTTTTCGCTCTTTGTGTCATTTTTCAAGATCGCCTTCGGTGGGGGAGGGGCGGTGTGCGGCTGGTGGTTTGGCGAGTAGGTTGATCTGTGATTCAAAGGCGGAGCGGCAGAATTCTTCTTGACGTGGTTGGCTGGGGAATAGTTTCTGTTGTTCGGCATGGGGGGAGGGTTGTAGGGTTTGCTGTTGGGTACGTGGTTGTAGGAAGGTTTGCTATTCAGAACAGGTGCTGCTGTGATGTTGTTAGGGACTTGGTGATGCCTTGCTGGCTGAGCGTACGTTTTAGTATTATTACTAACGTGCGCGTAGTTCCTGTTGTTAGAGTTTGGAGCGCCGGGCGCTATGTACGGCCGGTTGTTGTGTATTTCCTCTTGTTGCGGTTTTGCGTAACTCATAACGGTTATATCTTTAAGGCTTGAATCGTAAATCTCGTGCTGTATCAACCTCTCGCGAGATCCTACGGGTCTTTGCGTCCGCTCGGGTGAGGGTGGAAGAGACCTCGGTTGCGTGGCGGGCCCTCGGGATTCCTGTGGGAATAAAAATTCCTTGTTGGGTGACCGAGGGGACTGTTTGAGCTGTCTGTTGGGTGATATGAGGTTCAGAAGCTTGTCCCGTGTGGTTAATACGTGGTTATTGGAAGAGTTTTTGTGGTTCGGGTCATTTTTCTGGTCGAAAGAGACCGTCTTGGTGGAGTCTTGGATGATCTGAAGAAGCAGAGAGAGAGAGAAAAGGGAGAAGAAATGGATGAAACAAAAACAACAACAAGAAATAAAACAAAAATAAATAGCACATGATGTAAAAAAGATGATGATGAATGAAGAGCATGGATTTTCAATTGAAATGGTAGATGTTGCACAAAGAGACACCAAGAAAATTAATAATAGACTATTATATAATGGTAGTGCAAGTGATGCACTTGCGTCCAGTGAAAAAAAAAACTTAGAATGACTACTAGTAAGAATAAAAGACTGATATGAATATTAGGAAAGACGCGTACCATGTATGGTTGTGTGCAATATCCTAACGTTGTAAGTGTTTAGAACTGTGTTGATATGAAATACAGTGTCAGAACAAAATACATCTGAATGCACATGCTTCTGGAAAATTAATAAATACGATGTTCAAGGTGTAACAAATTTTTGCTGCCGAAAAATTCATACTACTAAAAGTAAAAATGAAATGACGTGCTTTGATTGTGTGAATACGCATGCGTGGTTTAACACAAAATACTAACCTTGTACTCAGTCGTAAAAGTAATTATATTCTAAATATAGCCCTGGATACAATGTGAACTATACGTTTGATCTGCTTGGAGATTGGTCCAGGCATGTTATGGGTCTGGCATCCAGGCTACAAAATCGTAAGGCGTATGTCACCACATCGTAATAAAAAGTACTCTCCAAGCAGAGGTTGTGGAGGAATGATCGTTAGCTTTACATATATGGCCCGTTTTTTTGTCGCTAATCCCGTCGGTGGCCGCGGGCCTTCTCTGGCTAATGGATACTGCCTGGCCAATTTGACACTGTCTTTTTGCCACCGAGAGGGATCTGCTTGGAAATTACAATTGTCGTGCAATAAAGTTCTTCTTCATTATACAAACCTCAATTAGGCTGGCACACTACACTGACACACTGGCTAACTCTAGGCCAGGCGTGTTTATTAATTATATGGGTCTGGCATCCAGGCTACAAAATCGTAAGGCATCTGTGACCGCATCTTAACTTAAATAAGAAGAACGTTTTGAAAGTTTACCTGCGGTGGCGGCCGTCTCCGTGCTGTGTTAGCGGACAGGTGGAACCCGGTGCCGGTAGCCGGAGCCCCGTTACTCCGGGTGGGGGAGGCCGGGGCGGACCGGCGCGGCTTGTTCACGGTCGCGTACACGGGCTCCTCCCGTCGGTGGGTGTCCCGCTCGTGTACCTTGGTCACGTACTGCAGGTCCTGGGGTTGGGAAATAATTTGTGATTTTTAAATTTACGTTCATAAGAAAAGCAGATACACAAAGAAACTCAAGCGACTGGATAGTGTGTGTGTGTTTGTGTGTGTGTGTGTGTGTGTGTGTGTGTGTGTGTCTGTGTGTGTGTGTGTGTGTGTGTGAGTAAATTAATATTTTAACACAACTTTCTGTACTGTAAACTACTAGTATCTAAGGGATACAAGAAAAAGTTCAGCAAAAAACATTCATACCTAATGCGTGACTCAGAAACATAACGATACGGATTCGAACACATGACATTTAGGCCGACATGCCACAAGCTGACCTTTGACCTTCTTTCAAGGACTAAATTTCAACACTACTAGATCTAATGCCTACTTTTAAGTTCGCTCGACCGACTTTGAAAAGGCAAGAAAACATAAGATTTGTTGGTCTTCAAGAGGATTTAAGTAAACATACACAGGTTTATCTGTTTGTATCAAAGAGACATTTGGAAGGATTATAGGACTTCAACTAAAAGTTAGGTAAACATTGAATTCGCAAAAAGAAACAAACAGATTGAAATAAAGCTAAATGAAAAGACAGGGCTAGCAACAACAAAATGATATTCTACAGTCACCAAGCTTATAATTTTGTAGCACGTACGTTTAAAGTTAGCCTTCGTAGCAGGCTTATAGAACTGGGGGTTTGGTGGTCTTCGGCTGTTTTCTGATTAGCCTCCGTAGCAGGCTTATAGAACTGGGGGTTTGGTGGTCTTCGGCTGTTTTCTGAACGGGGGTAATTCAACCAGGTCGGCTATGTTGTCTATATGCAATCAGAAAACAGCACATAAAAGCTCCCAAAGACCCTGAAGGCCCCCAAACCCCCAGTTCTTTTGGCATGCTATGGAGGCTAGGTGAAAGTACAATTATAACAAAACTGACAAAAACAGACAGCCGGGTCTCCTACAGACTATCCCGCCCCTTAATTTGTAAACAACACCTGTACCTTAAGGGCATCGTTTCTACAGTAACAGCCTTTTGTTTTTAAACTATTAATAGACAATACACAAAAATGTCCTACACAACGTAAATCTCGACGCAAATGCAGAAAAGTTACTTCAGTTGTGTGCTGACTTATAGTTTGCATGATATTTTTGTGCCTTTAATATTATTTGATGTGTGTGGCTAACTTATGTCTGTTTTTTCCCCCAGTGTACATTTAACACGCCTATATGTCATTTCGTTTTACCTGGGAAATAAACAAAGAACATACAAACAAAAGCGAAAACTATTTACCTGTGTATTCATATATGACCTAGGTCAACCTATATGTTTACTTCACATGTATGACCTATGTGTATCTATGTGTTCAGGTATGACTTATGTATATGTAACAATAAATGTTCAGTTCATGTGTATATCTACTTAAATCGTTTTAAACACTGAATTAAACATTTAGTAAAATCTTCTCACCTGTGTGTTAACATACGACCGTGGCCGCTCCGGACGGGAATGGTGGTTTTCTACATTCGCGTAGTGGCCGGTGCCGCTCCTGTGTGGCGCACTGTGCGCTCCCGAGTGGTTCCTCCTTCTGACCACCGCATACTCTCTTCCAGAAACCGGCCCGTTCCCGTACGCCGTCGTCTTCGAGCTTTGTGCGGAGGGTCTCCGGAAGATGTGGGTCTTCCCCGGGAGTGATTTGATAGACCCGCGCCGAAGTAGGTTGATCTTGTTGGACAGAACTTTTGTGGCCGAACGGCTTCTGCTCATGAAAACAGAAGATGGCCGCCTGCTATGCGGGTTGGAGATAGAGGAAGGCGGGGTTGGCCGGCCGATGCTGTGGCCGTACTCTTGTATAGCGCGAACCAGCCACAAGGCAAGCGCCGTGGCGTATTCCGGCTTCTTGGTCTTGAAGGCTAGACACATAAGAGGGTTGTCCAAGCTGCGAGTCCGCATGACGAAGGCAAACACGTCTTTGTGGATGTTGTCTGCAATTCCATAGGTGACCGCTCGGGTCGGCACCACGTCGGGAGTCGGGGCGCCGATCGCGTTCTTCGGGTAGCCGATGAGAATCCCCTGCCCTCCGATACTCAGAGTTCTCTTCGGTAGACTCTTGTCTTTCCCCCTCTCGTACAGCATATGAACCACCGGGACTACGGCTTCCCTGCCTGATCTTTCCACGGGTAGTGTTCCCAGGTAGCGAACGTGAAAAATCGGACATACCGTCTCGTCGCTGCCGTACTCCACCGATAGATCCTTCAGAGATCGCGTCTTGTAGCTTTTACCGCTCCTACCGCTCCTTCTGCTTCCAAAAATCGACATGGCGGCCGTCTGTTCTAGCAGCTAGCTGCGCTAGTCAGAAATTCCTTGGCGTGAGAACTCGGCCTCTACGACATTTAGAGTGAATAATCCCGCTTGCTTGGCTGCGCGCTTTGTCAAAGGCTCGACCTAAACCGTCCCCACCCGTCCGACCACTATTGTCGACCGTACAAGGTGGATTCTACCCACCTCTGGGCGTGTCCCAAATACCACTCACCGCATATACAACACATCAACACACACTAAAAACACCCAGACGCGGTAAATTACTAGTACATCCCTCTATAACCAGCCTGAGAATATTCTTGGCGCGTTCGCTGGACTGAAAACCGTCCCGGGATGATTTTCGGGCCCGGGTATATCGGGGTCGTCGGTGACGCGTTGTCGTTAGCCTAGTAACCAGGCCCCGTGAGGTCAGCGCTATCTTTTCGGCGCTGGTAGCGTCTCGGGCCACCAAACCAGGCCCCAATTAGCCTCTACCAGGCTTCGGGAGGCGGCTGGAAAGAGTAGAAATAGGGCAAATAGAGAAATAACATGCCAGGGGAGTTTGTCTGCTGGGAGAGAACATTTTGCCGCATCGGGTGCCGGGGGTACTGCTTTTTTGAAGACTGTAGAAGACTCTGCGTAATACAAGAAGCCAGCGGATACAGGGGAAACCAGCTGGAGATATGAGGTCCGTGGAATAACTCGCCTGTGCTTGGTAAACTTAAAGGCCGGAGTAGGAAAACCACCCCAAGCCGACCAAATGTTTGGTACCCAGGCTACTGTTAGTCTCCACCAGACTCCTTTGCAGGCTGAAAAAAAGTAGAAATCGGTCTAAAAAGGAGATATGATTGGCCAGAGGAGTTGGCCGCCCAGAGAAGTTCCATTTGGGGGCCTGCATGCCCTTTTTTCGTAAGGCGTAATCAGGCTCTTTTAGTCTTCGTAATCCGTAGGCAACCTCCGCAAAAATCCACGTAATTCGTAATAGCAGTACTGTACATTAGCCGCAAATCGTAAAGTCGTAATCAGCTCTGAGAATTTAACGTAATTCGTAATCGGCTGCGAAAACTTTGCATAATTCGTAATCATTACTACCCCCCCCCCCCCAATCGCAGACAATAGACAGAAAATGTCCTACACCACCTGAATCTCCAAGTAAACACAGTTAAGTTACCGACGTATTATTTTTGGCCCTTAAAAGTAAACAATAAACGATTTTATTATTAATAAACTTTATTTGCAAAATCATGCCCGAAGGCTAATTGCTTTTACAATCAAGTATAATACTCATTGCAATACAGTAATAGAAGACAGGTAACAACTGTCTGGAAAAACTTCTACTTCTACTACTACGCTAGCTTTTATGGGGTTCGACTTCTTCTTTGAAGGCAGTGGATAATGAATAGTCCCACATTCTGCATTAATGGCCCTCCGATATGCCTGGGGACGAGGCTATCCTGCCCTGTGCGGAGTTGTGGCCATCCATAACAGTCAGACAGGCTTTCGTCGCCATGGCAACCGTCCCTCGGGGTTAGACATGCTGAATGGAAGCCCCGGATGGCCCGGACCGGCCGGGTTCACTTCGCATGCGAACGGGCCATGGCGAGGGAATAATGGGAACAACGTCAATAATAAAGTTGCAAAAATGATATCCAAGCCAATGTTTGGGGGGCTGCAAAGACAGTATCAAATTGGCCAGGCAGTTTCCATTTGACACCCAGTTGGATATCACCTGGCCAATTTCACACTGTCTTGACTGTCTTTGCAGCCACCAAAAGATCTTGGAGATTATAACGTCATTGCAAGCTGCGACATCGGTCAATATCGGTAACACAAGTATTTCACACGTCATGGTAACTGAGAAACACAATAGGAAAACCAAGTTATTGTTTTGAAAAGGGCCCATATACAAATGTTCCAAGAGAGAAGCATGTAAATTATAGGTATGGATAAAACATAGTATAATTTCCTTATTACTCTACTCATGGAGGTAGAAAAAAGGATTTCTCTTTTACCTCCATGCTCTTCTGTAGTTATCTTACTGACAGTGTATTTAGCTTCTAATGGGGCATGGATATGCAATAAATTACATTGTCGCTGATATATATTATTACTGAAAAGAAAATGTGTGTCATTTCAATATATTTGGTGAGGCAGTTAATCACTTAAGTATTGATTGAAAACAAACGTATGTCTAAATCTACTCCATGCACGTCTTTAAGACTGTACAGAAAATAAGACTTAACAGGTGGTCGAAAGCATGAAAACGACAGCCTGTCTTTTGAAACTCCTAGCCTCCATAGCATGCCAAAAACTGGGCCTGGGGTCTTCAGGATCTTTGGGAGCTTTTATGTGCTATTTTCTGATTGCATATAGACAACATAGCCGGCCTGGTTGAATTACCCCCGTTTTTTAGAACTGGGCTAATAAGAAAACAGGCGAAGACCACCAAACCCCCAGTTCTATAAGCCTGCTGCGGAGGCTATAAAATTCCGCACATGAAGGATTTATAACTTTGAGTCACCTGAAGGTAGTGTTTATCAACAGTGAAAGTGGTTTAACACAGTCTTAAAGACTGTTCCCAGGTGAGACCTTTGACCTTGAGTGCCAAGGTCACACAGGTCAAGAACCGACCCAGCGGGAACTTCAATGAATGAATGAAGAACCTTTGTTGTAAATTTTTGCCCCACTGGGCTAAATACAGGTTACATGTTGGCAGTAGTACATATACATAAACGTATAACGTTGTGTATATATACACTTTTAGTAAACTCTAGTACACTCGACTTCCTCTCACTTCCTAGTAATAGTGTAGACATTGTAGCTTCCGTAGCAGAACTGGGGGTTTGGTGGTCTTCGGCTGTTTTCTGATTAGCCTCCGTAGCAGGCTTATAGAACTGGGGGTTTGGTGGTCTTCGGCTGTTTTCTGATTAGCTCAGTTCTAAAAACGGGGGTAATTCAACCAGGCCGGCTATGTTGTCTATATGCAATCAGAAAATAGCACATAAAAGCTCCCAAAGACCATGAAGACCCCCCAAAACCCCCAGTTTTTGGCATGCTATGGAGGCTATAGACGCTGGAGGTTGTATGATGAGTTAATATAGTTGGTTTGTCGAAGGCTGTAAGGAATATAAATTTCTCTGAACTATGCAAATTCTTCAGTCTTTCAGTAGGGCAAAGGTGATTGAGTCTGCGTGCCTTTCTATAATGTGGCGTGGCGGGCTGTTGTAATTCAACATTACTGGTCATGACTGCGAAACTTGATTTAGGGGGCGAGTAGTACAGTATTCTGGGTCGAACCCGGACCGTCAACACACCAACCACTAGGCCAGAAGGACTGGTCAGCCCTACGTTTACACACTGGCCCTCTGTGGCTAATCCAACGTTAAGCGCTGTTGGTAAATTATACGTGAAGCGTAACTGTTCGTTTTAATCTTACGTAACGTTAATAAGTTGTTTGTTACCCAGAGTTAAAATATTATGGACAAAATCATTCGTATAACACAGTTGAATGCCCCAAACTCACTATGCGCGTTCGCAATATACTGTCATAGTTACATTGACAATGCCATGAAATTGCAAGCCAAGATCCCCCATACATACCCATGTGAAGCTCTCGCCAGCATAATATTCAATGTCGACTCCATTTCATAACGAAAATAGCTCAGGCACAATATACCATCGACAGAGACGGTCAGAAAAAGAAGATTTTAAAAGCGTCCCCTGTCTCCTCGAAGTGGTATTACAACTTCGACGAGGGTGGCTAGGTGATTAAATTTGAATCATTCTTGGTAAAATTAATAACCTGACAGTAAAAGATGTTACAAAATTTTGTTAGGTTAGATTTTACAGCAAGTGGTCAAAGAAAGACAGGAATATACCACTTAAATCCGTTTAATCGCATTTGTTTTACTGATAAATCGTGAAAATCAACATTGATTTGAATACTTCTTGGGTAAAAATTACGAAAACTCACTTATCGTAGCGACATGCGAACGATAAAAACGGCATTTGCTGCAGTGGATGTTCCGTGTAGTACCATCCAAGCACTATAGATACTATTTGGATAATAAAACTACGCAGAGGTCAAAGGTTGCGTCAGCGAACCCGGAAGTAACCATTCTAGATCGATGGAAGGAGGCAGATGGATTTTAAACCTGACGTTTTTGTGATCTGTAGGCAACTTTCACGGCTTGTTTCATCCTTTTCTCAATGACTAACACACAGGTAAGGTTCTCTTCCTTGTATGTTGCACCATGTTTGGTTTCTAAAGCCAGGGGCTACGATAGAAATATTTGCATCGATTCGCCCCTTCGAGGTCCTTGAGTACAGTATATTCAGTATTCTATTTTAATCTGTTCTGCTCATAGCTTCTATATAAAGAGCTTTTAAGACGCAGCTGTATTAACAACTTCGATCAATGTTTTCTATTCCAATGTGTCTCACTAACAGTATGTATTAACTTAAAATGAGCGTACAATTCAGCCATCTGGCTTCTTCTTAGTTCAATAAACTGAAGACGTTGGTTTGAACATGTTGATCTTTCTGTGGCCCCACCTACTGTAGACTACTAGTATAACTGCGTACTATATGAGTATTATAGTCTCCGCCACCTTTATGTGTGTATTTTCCCTATACTAAGGAGTTTCCACCGGTTGTGAGTCTGAATGTTGGAGGGCAGCGCTACACCACCACTCTGTCCACACTACTCCCTCCCTCCCTCCTTCAATCACTCTCACATGTACCTACCTTTATGTTCAGGAGTTTCCGCCGGTTGTGAGTCTGAATGTGGGAGGGCAGCGCTACACCACCACTCTGTCCACGTTACGGAAGTACGAGGACTCCATGCTGGCTGTCATGTTCAGCGGGAGGCACCAAGTACTCACCGATAAGGTCAGCTTTTCTGTCAGTTTTCTATTAATCAGTGGGTTTGGCTCAGAACCAAGAGGTCCTGGGTTTGAATCCCGCCAACTTCACCAACCATGTGCCCTTATGGGAAGGCACTTAACATGTCTTTCCTCACTTCGCCCAGGTGAAAATGAGTATGCCAGAAGAATTTACCATTTTTTAGGGGTTGGTGGAAAAAGTAGTACATTTATTTTGCTGCTTCACAAAGAATATTCTTGCCACAAACCCATTTTGCTGTTTTGGCCTTTCTCAAAATATCAGGTCTTTTTTTGTGGCAGTGGCTGACAATACAGATTTTTGTGTTTACCAAAGGAGAACATTGTGTTTGCTTAGTTTTTTCTTCTTCTCCAGTGACCTCTGATCTGAACCAATATTGTGTCTGTTGCCATGGTAACTAATGTTCGGTTACATCATGTTGCAATTTTATAGCAGGAGGAATTTAGACTCCTGCCACCATGTATATATGAATGTGTTTGAGTAAGAATTAACAGAGAAGACCACATGTGAAGGTGAACATTATGCATAATTCCCTTGCAAATGTTACCTCTCTAGTTTTCCTTTCTTCCAGGATGGAAATTATTTCATCGACCGCGACGGAACCTTCTTCCACCACATCCTAAACTTCCTTCTCTCCGAGAAACTTCCCCCTCCCGACGTGGGACAACAGGTTTACGACGAAGCCACATTTTACGGTATTGAGGCTCTAGCCAACCAACTCCTGGTCTACAAGGATGTCGCCGTGACACAGAGGATGGAAAAGTGGGTGTCCAAACACCCGCAGGTGACAGCAATCGCTGTAAGAATGATGGCATGTGCCGTGGAGAAGTATCACAAGAACAACGACTTTAACTGCACTGAGACAAGAGTCAGGACTACGTTAGATCGAGGTTATACCGCCGAGTTTTGCGTTGGTGCGGTGGTTGGTTCGTACCCTTGCGAAGTCCCCATCCCGAAAGAATTCTTTAAATCGAATTGGAAGGACACCCACGGTTGTATCAGCACAGACAAGCCTACAGACTTCTCTTCACAAGTCTCTGTTACAGATACTGACTGGATAAAAGGACTCCTACAACATCAGTTTGAGAAACGGGGACTTTCGGTGACTCTTACTACGAAGATCTGCCACTGTTCTAAAGAGTCGAGGTCGAATAGTCAACATTTTAAACTCAGTAGTCTGAATGGAACCATTTTTGTGTACTGTGGGAAGGTGGCAGTCAATGCTACATTTGCCTGGTCCAAGTAGTAGCAAAGGGGACAACACATGTTTAGTACAAGTTTTTATTTTTTGTTTTAGAGTTTTAGACGAAAACTGATATTTACTTGTAAACAGTGCACACCACTTGTTCCTTACTTTAATCTCCAAGCAGATCCTAGGGTGGCAAAAGACAGTATCAAATTGGCCAGGCAGCATCCATTGGCCAGAGAGGGTCTAATACGCTACACGAGATTACTTGAATGTTTGCTATCTGACACCTTGATTATGGGCCTCCTATTGACTTTCCTTGGTATTGCAGCAGAGAGTTTAGGTTTTGTATCTTTTGTCCTGGACATGTGTATGTTACATGTAATGTTACTTGCTATTAACCTTCGGGCGAGAATTTGCAATACCTTACATACAGCAAAAACTGGCTGCATTACATGTAATTTAACACCAAGAATATGCACATTAATGATTCAAACAAACTTTTGAGTGGAAACATTTATTGAAAGTGCATGTTAAATAGTGTTACATTCTAAGTAAAGCTTTAGCATATTAAATATTCTTTACGAAAACAAGTACAAAGATACAGTGCACTCAGAGGAGCAAATTTGTGTTTGTATTTCCTCACCAAACTCTTGTAAGTCTTTTCAGAACCCCTTTTAATAACTAACTGCAACTGAACAAAAATGTATCCAAACACTTAATAGCCTGGGTGCCATCCCCAGTAGTATTCACCAGCTAGCTTACAACCAGTGGTAGCTAGTGACATTATAGAGCGGGCGAATACTACTGGGGATGGCACCCAGGCTAAACACTTAAATCATCATACGGCCACACCAATTTAATTTGTTGGTTCTCGGATTCGCCTCTTCGTTTTTTTCTGATTTGCAAAAAAAAAAAAAATTTGATTCTGGTCCTGAATCAACTGAAAAATGCTCATGTTTTGCCCCCCAACAGTTGAGGAAAGTCCTTTTCTTCCTAGTTGTTACAGTTTTCGCATCTATCATTGCAGTGGTTTGATTAAAAGTTCAAAATTCTATGTTTAAATTTTAACCCAGCCTTTTGTGTTGACTTCATGGCTCATTTTGTAGCATTTAAGCCTATAATAGGATGCCTAGACCTGTTTTTATTTTTATTTTTTTTCGCCCTGTCGCTTCATATTTTTTCTGAAAAAATCCGAGAACCAACAAATTAAATTGGTGTGGCCTACATTGAAAAAAAAAGACATTATTTTGTGTAATAATATACATTGCACAATCACTTTACAACATATTTTCCATACAAATCTGAACATTTATTACTATGTACAAGCTGTGTAGCAAAGTCAAGTGTAAAACATTTGGTGTGTTGTTCTGTCACAATTTATCGTATACTTTGCTCTCATCATAAAGTTCTAACATTATCTGGTTTGTAATGCTAAACATGAAAAGTTTTTAACTCAAAAACTAAACCAAAACCTGTTTTAATTGGCGTCCAATTAAAACAGATTTGGGGTTAGTATTAATACAAGTCATAAATTTTACAAAAATACAGACCAAATGTTACCATATACCCACAAAGTACAAGAATGCTTATTATGCTTTAGGAAAGTAAATATACATGTACTAACTTTCAGTACTAGGAGACAGAGGTTTTTGTTGAAAGTATACATTACATTACCAACATAAGCTGGATAAAATTTTTTCTGAATTCTATGTGCACGAACTCGTGACAAAATCTTTTTCTTCTTTCTACAAAAAACATGGATACGGGTACACTTTATCCTCAGTGAGTCAACTTAAAGTCAGTAACAGCTGTGTTACTCTGTACAACATCTATATCATACTTACATCCAAGACTAAACATTATCAAAAGGACCACTGTCCTATTCAAAATGCATTTAGAGATTCTTTTGACAGACAAAATCTTAAGAAAACTGCTTCAATATAGGAAGTGGTCAGTACTTTTCTTCACCATTTCCTAGCAGTTGGTCAGTATACACATGTATGTGTTATCCAGAATTTATTGTCCCCAAATCCTTCAAACCACTATTGACTTAAGAAATTCTATCATGAAGTGAATGACTGAATATTCTGTAAAATTACAATATGACAGAATACTGGAAGATGTTTCTATCTGCTTTAGAATAATCACTGACAGTATGTTTGAAAGTTCAGTCAGTCCTTTATAAAAAAAATTGGGTTAATGAGTTGTGCTTCAGAAATCTTTCAAATGTTGTGGTTTGAGTAAAGGAGGAAATAAGTTCGCTCATTTGAGTTTTAAAGGTTTATTGGAGGAGGTGATTGTATCCAGAACCGTGCCTGTTTAGTTCTATGCCCGAATGGGTTAGGGTTAGGACCAGGCACAGTTCTGGATAGTTCAACTTCCTATCCAGAACCGTGCCTGTCTAGTTCTGACTTTGGTGCCTGAATAGGTTAGGGTTAGGATCAGTCACAGTTCTGAATATTCTCCGAGTACCCAAAAACATAAATTTGCCCCAGGCATGGTTCAGGATACATGTGGACTATCAGTATCAAGAACTGTGCCAGAGCTTGTTTCTGGATAAAACACAGTTCTGGATCTGCCTGGGCTATCCAGAACCGTTCTCAGGCAGGTTCCAGAGCCTTGCTTTATCCAGAAACAAGCTCAGGCACAGTTCTTGATAGTCCACGCATATCCAGAACCCTGCCTGAGCATGGTTCTGAATAAAGCACATTTCTGGATACAGTTGGACATCCAGAACCCTCTGAGCAGCAGTTGGAGCTTGTTTCTGGATAAAGGAAAGTTCTGGATATGCCTGGACTATCCATAACCCTGCCTAAACATGGTTCTGGATAAAGCATGGTTCTGGATACAACCACGGTACAGGGAACCCCCCTGGAATATTTCACAGACTGAGTATATTCTAGTTGGAGGCGTACCCTGCACGCTTGCAGGTCAGGAATGCCGTCAGGTTGTTTACCGACCCCCCCACCAGTTTGTACGCTATCGCCATGGTAACCAGGAGGATGCAGTACGCAGGGATGATGGTGGCAGGCTGGAGTGGGCGGATTAACGTCTGCAACAAGAAAAAACAATGATGTTTTTAAAAAAGCACTGGTGACGCTGGCGTATTAACGTCTGCAAACAGAAAAAAACAGTTTTCTATTATAGAAAATTTTCAACCTTTTGGGTAACACAAGTCATATCTACATTACATCTAAACAACAGTATACATTACTATCATGAAGGTTCATCTGTGTTGGTAGTTATGTGTTTAGAATTAAAACTATAGAAGCCACATGACTAGCCTCACTGGGTCAGTCTACTGAGGAAGACCAGAGTGACTGGTCAAAAGCTCTAGGTGAGAGAACTTTTTGTGTTGGATATAAAGTTTTTAGTTTACAGAATACATTAATTTAGATATATACTGTTGTTTAGATATATGTAGAGATCTAAATAACAGTATACACTAGTTTGATATTCAGTCCTTTTTAAGAATTTTCCATACATTACCATACACTGTAACAGATGTTATATTCTTGTGGCAAAATTTCTCTTAAAGGTGTTTGTTCTGTTTCTTAGAGTGACTCACCAGACATGAGATGAGCATGTGGAAGCCGACCACAAACCCCACAGCAGGGATGTTTCTCTTGTCGCAGCCCCAGAAGAAAATCACGTTCCAGAAGGTGTGCAGCAGGATGAAACATGACGTCATCAGGGCTGCAGGAATAAAAAAAGATGTCATTTTTTCCTGTGAATAATTTTATCAGGTTGGTAAATGGCTGTATAGTATAGCAATGTTATTATTGACAAGCAAAGGAGTTTTCCAGGCTGACTGCAGTTTATTAAAGGCATCCAATGCAGTTTTAGGGCTTGAAAACAAGATTTTTTTGAAGTCAATATTCTAGTCAATACTCTCCATAGTGAGTTGAAACAACACTGTCCCAATGCACATAAACATTCATGGAGCAAAAATTTGGTGTTATTGCAATTGAGCAGTGAAACTTACTGGTAAGATCCTGGGTTGATTTTTGGGGTACCACCCAGAAAATGAAGGACTCCTCTTGGAGCCTGTTTCTATGCTGTTTTTAAGGCCCGAATAATGAAATACTGATGCAAATGTGCTAATGTAGGGTAGTATGTTCATATATCACACAGATTGCCTTATTCTAGAAAATTTCCAGTTTTGCTGCCAGAAATTGCATTGGATACCTTTAAAGTACAACATCATCATCAAAATTTATGCACAACCTATAGACTATTATGAAGACTAAAATGTTGTTTAATGAATAAAACTCTCACCAGATGTGAGGAAAAAGTATGGTGTATCGCCATGGATACCGACTGTCCCTGGTCCTGTTGCCATGGCGAGGACGTTGACCAATGAAAACGCTCCACTCATCAGGCCAAAACCAAGTCCAGCAACTGAGGAGAAATATGATGTTGATCAGATTCTTAAACTAACAGAATTTTGTACACAAAAGATACTAGGTTATATACTGTGCAAAATTCTTTACCGATAATGCTAACTAAAAAAACACATTACAAACAATGCTCATTGCTAAAATTAATGATATATTTGGCACAAATGTATATGTACATGTGTATACTGCATGCAATCTTTGGAAAAACCATGCAAAATTTAAGCAGACTTACCATAAGCGATCATATGCTTATCTGTTGCTGTTGGCGGCTCGTCACTGAACGTTTGCAGACCCTCGTCTGCTTTTCTGTAAAATTTCAGAAAGAATCTTAGTCAGGGTCCATCCAGGTGTGAATATGGTTCAAACCTTACAGTGTGGAATTTGTACCTAGCTTCAGTTAGGGAGGTCCCTCGGATAGGACGTTAAATGGAGGTCCCGTGTTTGGGGACAGCCACACCCCACGCACGTTAAAGAACCCACCGCACTTATCGAAAAGAGTACGTAGGGGACCTTACCGGTGTGAGTGGTTCAAACCTTACAGTCCGGTCTTACACAGCTTGTTCATGTACACACATGTACAAAACTGTTGTGTTACGCCTAAAGGCGGTTTACCGGTTATACGAAACAAACAAAGTTAAGCAAGTCTTACCTGAGCAGTTTGTAGATGAAGAATCTGAAGACCTCCTGGAACAGGACGGAAAAGACGACCCCAAAGGCCAGCTGGTCCTTCAGCGGCCAGACGATGTTCCACAGGACTGAGGAGAACAGCAAGGACAGCAGCCAGAAAAAACATCTGAAATATTGAACGATATTGTAGCAGGCTGTCATAAGTTTGTCATACGTTAATTCTACAAATATGAGCTATTCTGCCAAAGTGCTATGCACAATACATTACTGAACAGGCATGATCTGCAGGTCGAAAAGGTACACTTGTACTAGCCGTGGTGACTCTTGAATCAGCCAAGGTTGTCAATGCACTCAGCTCAGACGGTAATGCCCAATTCAAGAGTTACCACGGCTACACTGGTACAGGTTTTGCACGGATATGCTGACACACTACTACAGTCAAACCTGTACAAGTCACCAGCTTTACATGTAGTACATAAGGACAATCTAAGTACCCCCCCCCCTTGTGTTATACATGTATGACTCACTCACTAGCTTGTATCAGTACAGTCACTGATCATAGCAGAACTATAAACTGATTTACTTTATAACTGTACAATGCATATAGTCTTAAACATAGGTTTCCTTGCGTTTTACCTTTAGTCACACAATAACGGTACAGATAATGCATAATTTTAGGCTAAACAAATTCATCGTAAGATGGTAAGATGTAACAAATCATCCTGATTCCAGACTTACCCCGCGATGAGTATGATGATCCTGAGCGGCTCCCTCGCGATTGTGAAGATGAAGAGGGCAAACGCAGGTCCGTACGCAATGAACGTACAACCGAAAAACTCTTTCACCGTCATTTTTGCTCAAAAATTTTGGGTCAAAAATCAGAGCAGTACGAAGTTGCGAGCAAAAAAATAAAACAATTTTCACCTCAACCGGAAGCTGCGTTTAACGCTTATGGTGGCTACGAACCCAATATTGTGGGTTCGGTGATTGGACGTAACTCTTACCACACCTTGTTTTCAGTTTATAGTCGACAAAACGCTATTTTTAAGCCAGAAATCAACATTTACGAAGGAGAAAAATCGACGTCCAACATAATCTTTTTGTACTTCCGGTTTGGGCTAGCTACCTCAAAGGCTCATGGGAACTAACAAAAGATTTAAGTTTTTCGAATATGAAGACATGAATATCGACCAAAATTTACTTCTGACATAAAAATTAGTAAAATCTGACAACTAGATCGGATGTTTAACTTAAATAAAGTAGTTTATTATAGGAAGGAATAGCGTGACGTCATTTTCAAAGGGGCCTCTATCAGATTTTATCAGAACTGCAGCCTTGAAAATGCTTGACTTTTTTTCTTCCAAGAGTCTTTGTACTTCTCCTCTCTGTCTATCCAAGGACATTATATATTGGTCTGGGCCTTTTAATGATGATTGATTAGTACAATAATAAAGAAAAGGATGCAAAACGAGAGATTGCACGTCAAAGCAAGAAGCTTTAAACAATTTTAACCACCTCTTTTTGTCACAGTAATTCAACTCTCCGTACAGCATTGGTTTTTCTACAACACATACAGCACCTAGACTTGTTGCATGGCGATCTGAACGAATAACACACACATGTCAAGATCATCAGCAGAATCACCAGCACGAAGGCTGAAAGAACCGACAGGAAGAAAACGTTGAACGGGTCATTCGGGAAGAATCCAAAAAGTAGAGTTTCCGAGGAGGTGGCTGTAGACTGGCTGGGTAAAGTTGTGGTAGTGGGAGCGTCGGTAGACATGTCTTCTTTTTCTTTCTTCTTCAAGTTCTTCAGATACTGTTGCTGAAATCCGGAATGGTTGTGGGATCACATGTACAGGAAAGACGGACCGTGTGTACTTGAATAAGCAGTGACGCTAGCCTGAAAATGAATTAAAACGTGCACGTGATACAACCGTTAAAGAGTTTTTTTTTTCAAGTTTCGCCCACTGCCATGATGAAATTATTCCAGAAAAAAATCATGAATTGCTTTGTCGTTGTGGGGATTGCAAGATTAGAAGACAATAAAAAAAAACCGTAGTCCAAAATCCACGACAGTCTTCGGCTTTTCTCCAAGATACAGAGTAGTGAAAAGTAGTGAAAAGTACTCACTTTTTAGTATCTGTACCGTAGCGGATCGTCTGAAAATTTTTTTCAGTGACAGTAGCAGAAACAACAACCAGGGCACTGCACGTTTGGATCTCTACACTACCGGGTTGCTACGTTCTACCTTCTCCGGTTGCTATGTTCTATTCCGGTTGCTATGTTCTATCAGAGCTTGTTCGATCACTGTATCGGGCGATGACGCAATATTCGAACGTTCTCAGTTTATGCCGTCACCTTGGCAACGGAAGAGGCCATTGCCACTACAGTGCGAAGTCTTTCACCAAAGAGATCTGAATTATTAGATTTAATCGAAGATATAGAAGAATACTTCAGACGAAACTTACTGAATTGTAAGCTGTAAGAACAGAACTACCATGGAGGAGCTCCAAGCCCCGCCGCCAAGAGAAAGAAGAGGGAGTTTGTTCGAGGTCAAGTCCTCAAAACCCAAGGTGACTTTGAAGCAGTGTTCTTGTAAATATCATCATCGAGGACTATATCATGATAAGTAATGTTATCACTGACAAAGGAAAAGTATATTGTAACCGTGATCTTTGATGACGTACATGTATCAACAAATAAATATTCTTGCAGTTGCAACTATTTTTATTGCGTGAGGAAAGAATAAGAGTATAAAGTTTGCACCATTTCACACAATATTGATAGCGAAGTTGTGTGTGATAAAACTTTATTTTATAACAGGAATCATACCCTAATTGGTAGTTACATATACATGGCCGACGTTTCGGCAACATGTCAGCTATCTTTCTCAGGAATGGTCTCTGGCCAATGTACAAATCGAAACGCCGGCCAGATAAATACAACAAATATTGCGATTCAAAAACCGGTTAACCTCATTTTTCTAGCATCTACCAGGCTTCGGAATGTGGCTGGACAGAGTAGAAATTGGCCAAATAGAGAGATAACATGCCAGGGGAGTTGGTCAGCTAGAAAGTTTTTTTTTTGTGCGGCAAAATATTCTTTCAAAATATTCCAACTCCATCGGGATGTTATCTCTCTATTTGGGCAGTTTCTACTCTTTCCAGCTGCCTCCCGAATCCTGGTAGACGATTTTTTTCGGTGACATACCAACCCAATGAAACTACATTCACCTAACTATCTTTCCCAGATATGTGGTTCCAGTGTGATGACCATGGCTATCCAGCCGGAGTCTAGCTATGAAGACGTCAGCTTCAGGAGACCTCCCATGAAAGTAGAGTATGAGAACACGTACAAAATGGCGCCGGACGTTCGATTTCAGGTCCGTACATGGTAGTCAACGCTTCTTCTTTTTCTACGCTGATATTTTAATTTACAAAATGACGAGTTACGCTTGAAGATGATGCAAAAAGATGGTTATGAAAGTAACATTTGCAAACGAACTGCAGGTCTTGTTTATTTTTACTCAAACACGTTCATATATTTGGTGACCATTGACCATTCCCTTGCTACAATGTAATCCAACACCACAAGGTGTCTACTACAGCACTGTTACCATAGTGACATACATTCAGTGGTCCAATTCATTGAGCTTATGTGTTTGGAGAAGACGACGAAAAAGAGAAAAAACAATATTCAACTAGACCGTTAACATTTGCAAAGCAAATGCATAATGTTAACCTTCGCATGTGGTCTGCTATGTTAATTCTTACTCAAGACATTCATTTATAGTCAGACAGGAGTCTAAATCCCTCCTGCTATAAAATTGCAACATGATGTAACCCAACAAGTTACCATGGTAACAGACAGTCTTTTTCAGGTCATTGACCTTGTCTGGTTTGGAGAAGAAGAAGAAACAGAGCCAAAATAATATTTTCCTTCAGTAAACAGAAACATGATATAATCAAACAAAAGATGTGAAAATCTTTGTGTCCCAGGTGGGTAAAGTGAAGACGATCATTGACGAGTCGCTGGCGACGTTGGAGAAGGAACAGTACGAGGTGTATCACTGTCGGGAGCTGGCCAAACATCTGTCTCAGGACATCAAGGATAAGGTAAGGCCAAAATAACATATGTCTTGTAAAATTATCATTATTTTATATTGTAAAAGTGGCTGCAAGAATATAAGTTGTGCCCAACATGAGTTCGCAGTCACTCTGTGTCCTTTCATTTGTATTCATCACTGTTCTTCAGAATAAAAAAAAACAACCTCACAACTCCGGCAATGTCATTTTCATGCATTCAAACAACTCAGTTGCTGCTCTTGGGTTGTCTCAAACTAGTTGAAATGAGCCTGGTCTTTTACTAGTTTGGAAACAAACAAACCAAAGTCTGAATGATAGTTTTAATTCTGTGAAACATAGACTGATGAATGTTCTGTCCATGGGAAATGCACCTTGTATGACTATCTTAGGCGCCTGACTTCGGTTGGGGAGATAAAAGACAGTGGAAGGAGAGGGATGGACTCCACCTTCCAATACCGTGCCCTAGACACAGTGGATCAACAACCCACTGCCCCTATGGCCTCAAAAAGTAACTGTTGTTAAGTGAAGGCATTCAGCACCAAGGACAGAGACTAGAGAGATATTTTCTATCTGGTTTGTTTTCACCCACACTATTGAACCAAGAAAAGGAGTGAACAACCCACTGCCCCTACAACCTCAAAAAGGCCATGGGACTACCTTTATCATTATTTGAAATAAATGAATAAAAACAACTTTTTTTATCCAGGTGAAAGAAATCGGCATGCCGCGTCACAAGATCATCTCCTGGGTGACGATTGGCCAGCGGTGTGACCAGAGCATGCGTATTGGCAGCAGATGTCTGTGGGATGATGGCAACGATAACTTCGCCTGGGGGGAATTTAAAAACCCCTCGCTTCACGCAACAGCTATAGTGTACGGTATCTACCAAGACTAGACCCAACACTGAGATATGTAGACAATATATGTTGAAAAAATGCTATATATACATGACAACCATAAAGATAAAATACCATGACGTGGAAGCATCACCATTTGTTGTATACATGATTCTGATGTCGTAGAATTGTCAAAAAGGCTGTGGCAGGATCTATGACAGTTGAATTTTGCTACATGCCATAGATATCTACCAGGACTAGGTCTGAGACTGGGAGTTGTACAAATTAAGATATTTTGTTGTTGCAAGTTTGTGACAATGTATGTTGAAAATGCTACATGACAAACTTAAAGGGCTGATGGGAATGGTAATTTTGCCTGGAGGGGGGGGGGGTTAAAAACCCCTCACTGCACACCACAGCGATTGTGTACGGTATGTACCAGTACTAGGTCTGAGACTGTTATAGGTGGACATATTTCTTATACATGTATGGAGCCACAGACACCCAGGATTTGAGTTTTCATAAATAAACAATTTCTAAGAGACTAGTTCTAGGTATTTTTTGCTGGTATCAAAAAATATGAAGGGGCTAAAGTACCAAAAAATTAAGGGGCTCCTTGCATAACTTGTTTCTGAGCTATTTCAAATGCTTCAAGTATTAATGGTGACAAAATGTGCTAAGAAATGGCAGTAAATGTTGTCAATATCAGACAGATTTCCCTATTCAGAATATTTCTGGTTTTGCCCCCTTAAATTTCATCGGATAATGGGAACCCCTGACTGCACGCATTGGACTAGGCTTGGGATTGTTATATGTACAAAATATGTACATGTATTTTGTTGTTGCAAGTTTGTGAGAGTGTATGTTGAAAATGCTACATAACAAACTTGATGATAAAATACCATGACATACATGTAGAAGCATCAGCATTTGTTGTATTAACACCTTCTCAAGAACTCTTTATTAACTTCTCATTCGATGACAAATCTATGTCAGAATCCTGAATCACTACTATATAGTATTCATTTTTATCATTTAACATTTATCATTCATATAATCATTATTATGTAGTAACATTTGCCCCTTCTACCAAATGTATGCTGATACACCTGTAATACAATATCACCATCATTTTCTTACCATCATTTCAAACATATGAAAATGCACATTTTGTGTGGACATTGTACAGTAAGTTACTGTTAGTACAATTGTTTTTTGCTTCTCTTTTTGTCACTAACTACGTGACAATGATATCCAATACAGTTCAACCACCACACAAGCAAGCAACACCGTCAATACTAATGTAATAGAAAATTACAATCAGAAATTGTATCAACCTCAATCCCTCTACTCACTGCAGTTCCAGTTCATAACCAGTGAGCGAATACTGGCTAGGGTGCCTTCACTTCACAGATGTAATGCGTAATACCTCTGCAGTTGCTATCAAACCAGTTGGTAGCACTTAGTGTAGCACAGTTGCTAAGATTATCATTTTGGGTAGGGGCCCCCAGTCCCCAGTTGTTCCAGCCTGTGCCGAGTTTTGTCCCGTCCTCCCACACCCAGGTTCCCTCTGTCACTTCGTCTGTCAGACCGATCCAGACGAAATTGGTGTATCCAGCCTTGGCCAGGAAGTCGTTTGTTGCCTTGTCCTTAGGCATAGCCAGGCGCCCGCCGTCAGCATGACAGGCGGACCTGGCATCAGTGTAGTTTTTCCCGTCGGTAGAGATCTTGTAGCACATGTCAGGCTTCTCACAGAACCGTTCATAGCCACTGGGACAGCCTTCTAGGGTCTTGTTACAGCAGGCTGCAGATTGAGATAGTATGCGAACTTTCTTGTAAGTTATTGTTGACAGACTTTGAGTCAGGCAGAAACACACTTGTGCTATCAAAACCACGACTCTCTTGATCAGTAAACCAAGATGGTGTACAAAAGCAGTGTGCTGAACATGGCATTCTATAAGTGATATAACTACACCCTTCACTTAACCGCGACGGGGGCCGACATCGTCTACCAGATACCTTTGACCCAGTGTTGACGTCACACTTCAAAGAAGCCATGTGACAAGTCTCACTGGGTCAGTATACTGAGGAAGATAAGAGTGACTGGTCGAAAGGTCTAGGTGAGAGAACTTTTTGTGTTGGATCAAACGTTTTAACTGTTAAACATAAATGTAAGTGTATGTACATTACTCACTCGTTTTGGTGACGCAGTTATCTATTTTGAGACTCTTGATCTCCTTCTGCATTTCCTTGTTCTGTTCCAGCAACATTGCGATGACCATGTTCTGGAATTGGATGTGAAGGGACGTACATTTATTACTAAAACATGGAGAAACTAGAAAGGTAACATTTGCAAAGCACATGCATAATGTTCACCTTCACATATGGTCTTCTCTGTTAATTCTTACTCAAATGCAGTCATATGTCTGGTCAGACTAGAGTCTAAATCCCTCCTGCTATAAAATTGTAACATGATGTAACCCAACACCAGTTACCATGGTGAAAGACGGTCTGGTTCAGGCTATTAATAAGGTCATTGGTCAGTGTTCGGAGAAGAAGATGAAGAAGGAACAGAGCAAAAACAATACCGTTTTCTTCGGTAAACATAACTACTAGTAATGGAAAGACAAAAACATCAACAAACACCAATAGACTGGGAGGAAACTAATGAACTAACCTGTCCAGTATCTGTCATGTCCAGTAACTGTGGTTCCAGCTGGCTTGTCACCCACTGAGTGTCAAAATCTGGGAATAGTCCTGCTACCTGCTTCAGCTGCTCAGCAATGTTGTCAGCGCCCTAGAATAAAGATGAAGGAATACATTCAAACCTGTCCAAGCCGGCCACCCAACGGACCTAAGAGAAGCGGTAACTGAAGAGAAGCAAATCAGAAGAAATGAAGAGGCGATCCGAGAACCTACAAATTAAATCAAATTAAATTGGTGTGGCCTTACTGACAAAGAAGGAAACATACTAAGTTTGTGTGAATAGGCAGCTCATACCTGACTCTTGTCTGCTACGCCACTCCCTCCTGCATTACCCCCAATGTTGAGGTTGACGTTGACTGTCTGCCCTGAAGCCTGCAGCAGGGGCATCAGGACAGCCAGCATCACAAGCACTGCTCTCACGTCCATGGTTAGCTCTTGTACGTGGTGCACAGGGATCTGGAAACGACTGTCCCAACTGTAGCACTGACGTATCAGCAGGGAACGCCACCTTCTTTTATACCCGCCTTGTTGATGTTACCAACGCAGAGCCAATTTACCCATCAAACCATCTGAAACTCAAGACTGACAGTATTGTCTAACAGATTGAAGCTCTTTGTAGTGCTACATAGAGGTGAGGAAATGAAGAAGGTCTACAACCTGTTTTTAAAACCATTAACTCAAGGCCCCTGGTATTGCATGTGGTCCTGGCAAGTATCTGGATCAAGGATAAGAGGTAGGTCAAGGATTTTGTACAAAGGGCCACCAGAAGATGGTAAAAATTGCTGTTGAGGATATTATCAATTTGGCTGAGTCCAATTTCTTGTGTTGGAAATTACAGTTTAAACTTGCTGCATAATGACTTCTACCAACACAGATGAACTCTCATGATAAAATTTCCGACAGTTGTATTTGGTACAACTTTAATTTGTACTCAGCAATCAGACAGCATTTACTTCACACACACACATGTAATGTTGAATATGTAGCAGTATCATTATTATACCACTTACAGGCCTCGAAACCTTCCCACCAAGGCAAGGGTACCCTCATCTCATTTATTATTCATGACCTTTGGAAATATGACAACCATTTTTCTCCACCCTTTTTCCTTCACCCTTGATGTTTTACTTGCGTGTCATGCTGGTCCATTCTCTAATTATCATATTTTCCCTAACCTCTCTATCTGCCTTCCTGGGCATGAAATTCAAGGCTAGGATACCCAGTAGACCTATAAAGGCCCATTTACACATACACAGGCCATGTAAACCTCAACATGGAATAACAGGTAACATGCATGTATATTTAATGTTGCCCGCGATATAATCTCGAGTCTTTAAATCCAAATAACACGGATGCCTGTCTGTGTTCCTTGCTGCAAATGACTTTCTAAATAAATTTTACAATCATTCAAATAAGTCACACACTTTGAATATGAGAAAGAAAATTTTTATTCAGGCCACAACTTAAAACAATGTAGCTTTGTACAGTAAGTGTGTACTCAACTATTAGACAACAACGACTTTACATTCCTTCACTTCACACTTTACACATACAAGTTTTCACAGCATTTGGGTCAGATACAGAAGGGCAACATTAGTTGCGCAAGTCGAGCATTGAATCAAAACATGATTACAGTATAGGGGGTCTGGTATTCTACCCGAAAAATATCTTAAGTCACAGCACCCTGAGATACTTTTTCTCGCTTAAAGAGGGACAGATTTTGTGAAGATAAGGTTTTGCCTATGCTATAGCTTCATTCTAAAGTTATATTGTATTTCTTTGCAAGATGTATGAAGGTCCCCCCCCCAACAACAGCCATATGCATTTGGTGGTTGAAAGACAGCAAAGTGGTCCAAAATTAATCACAACAAAGGGCCCAAATCACAGCATAGGGGGTCCAAATCACAGCATAGGGGGTCCAAATCACAGCATACTGGGTCCAAATCACAGCAAAGGGGGTCCAAATCACAGAATAGGGGGTCCAAATCACAGCATAAGGGGCCCTCTCTAATCATTAGCAATCTCAACCCCTTTACTTACTGCAGTTAAAATTCATCGAGCCAGTAGGTAACAGTGGCCTTTACTTCACAGATGTAACGATAAGTAACCACAGTGCCGCTTATATCAAACCACTTGCTGTCATCAGTGTGTACAGCATAGTGGTGAAGGTTATACCCCGAAGGTAACCCCTGTTTCCAGTTGTCCCAGCCGAGTTTTGCCCCGTCCTCCCACACCCAGGTTCCCGGTTTCACCTCGTCTGTCAGACCGATCCAGATGGCCATGCATTTGGCCTTGGCCTTGATCTTGGCCAGGAGGTCATTTGTTGCCTTGTCCTTAGGCATAGCCAGGCGCCCGCCGGCGGCATGACAAGCGGACCTGGCCTCGGTGTAGTTCTTGTCGCCTGTAGAGATCTTGTAGCACATGTCAGGCTTCTCACAGAACCGTTCATAGCCACTGGGACAGCCTTCTAGGGTCTTGTTGCAGCAGGCTGCAGATTGAATGAGATAGTATGTGAACTTTCTTGTAAGGTATTGTTGACAGACTTTGAGTCAGGCAGAAACACACTTGTGCTATCGAAACCACGACTCTCTTCATCAGTAAATCAAGATGGTGTACAAAAGCAGTGTGCTGAAGATGGCATTCTATAAGTGATATAACTACACCCTTCCCTTAACCGCGACGGGGGCCGACATCGTCTACCAGATACCTTTGACCCAGTGTTGACGTCACAGAAGCCACGTGTCAAGCCTCACTGGGTCAGTCTACTGAGGAAGATAAGAGTGACTGGTCGAAAGGTCTAGGTGGGAGAATTTTTTGTGTTGGATGAAAAGTTTTAACTTTAGACATACATGTAAGTGAATAATACATTACTCACTTGTTTTGGTGATGCAGTTATCTACTTTGAGACTCTTGATCTCATGCTGCATCTCCTGCATCTGTCCCTCCATCTCCTTGTTCTGTTCCAGCAACTTTACGATGACCATGTTCTGGAATTGGATGTGAAGGGACATACATGTATTACTAAAACATGGAGAAACTACAAATGTAACATTTGCAAAGCAAGTGCGTAATGTTCACCTTCACATATGGTCTTTTCTGTTAATTCTTACTCAAATGCAGTCATATGTATGGTGAGACTGGAGTCTAAATCCTTCCTGCTATAAAATTGTAACATGATGTAACCCAACACCAGTTACCATGGTGAAAGACGGTCTGGTTCAGGCCATATTAACAAGGTCATTGGTTAGTGTTCGGAGAAGAAGAGGAAGAAGAAACAGAGCAACAACAATACCGTTTCCTTCGGTAAACATAACTAATTACTAGTAATGGAAAGACAAAAAACATCAACAAACACCAATAGACTGAGAGGAAACTATAACTGAACTAACCTGTCCAGCATCTGACATGTCCAGTAGTGGTTCCAGCAGGCTGGTGTCTTGGAATAGTCCTTCAGTCTGCGTCAGCAGCGTAGCAAGGTTGTCAGCAGCCTAGAATAAGGATGAAGGCTTGATTCAAACCTGTCCAATCCTAGCCACCATAGCATGCCAAAAACTGGGGATTTGGGGGTCTTCATTGTCATTGGGAGCTTTTATGTGCTATTTTCTGATTGCATATAGACAACATAGCCGGCCTGGTTGAATTACCCCCGTTTTTTTAAAGAACTGGGCTAATCAGAAAACAGCCGAAGACCACCAAACCACCAGTTCTAGAAGCCTGCTACGGAGGCTATCCAACCCGGCCACCCTGGGAACCGAAGAAAAGTGGTCACCTTGGACAGGTGGTCTCCTTGAAGAGGGTCGCCTCACAACATGACTGAGACATAAAATGGTTTCCAAGTCGAGATGTTTTAATGTCAAATCTTTTAAGCATCTTCCGTTCTGTGGTTAATGCATGTGGAAGGGTGGCACATGGAACAAAAATATCATCCAACAGTGAAGCCAAACTGGCTGGTCTCTCCATGATTTCTGGTTAGTTATCATCAATAATCAACATGATTAAAATGATGTGGTCACCATAAGCAGGTATCGGGCCTTGAATGGACCCAAATCACGGTGGTCATGTCAATAGGGAAAATTTTGGGGACCGGGAAAAAGCGGTCATAATGGACAGGTGTCCTGCTTCAAGAGGTGGTCTCCTTGGTAGATTTGACATGCATGTTTAACCAAAACCTCAGATTTTGCTATAATATTCCCAAGCACTATCTTTTTTTAAATTTTTTTTTATTCAGAAACACAATGAGAATCACAAATGAAAAGACATGGACTAAGTGACTGCGAACTCAAGTTAGGTACAACTTATATTCTCGCAGCCACTTTTACAATGAAAGAAAAATATTTTACAAGACATTTAAAAATACATGAGACCTCGCGTGAGTAACAAACCTCCCATCCCAGAAGACACATACAGTTAGAATCTTTTTGTTTCTAATATATAATTTTGTGCGGCTAACATTATTTTGCAGTTGGTATCATACGAACAAAGGAAACTACCGCGAAGAACTAAACATTGTATGGAATTATCAGAGCACTATCTGGGCTGACCATGATAAATCAAGGGCATCTGGCCTGTAGTCACTCACTAAAATTTGAAAACCAAGAATAATTGGTGTGGTCTACATGTAATTCTTTTTTTTTTGCAGTACTTTAATTTATGTTCACGGTTTAAATGGTCCCTTTTGTAACGGGATTATCATTAACAAAGAAAGAAATGTACTAAGTTTGGGTCAATAGGCAGCTCATACCTGACTCTTGTCTGCTGTGCCACTCCCTCCTGTGTTGCCCCCAGTGTTGAGGTTGATGTTGATAATCTGCCCTGAAGCCTGCAGCAGGGGCATCAGGACAGCCAGCATCACAAGCACTGCTCTCACGTCCATGGTTAGCTCTTGTGGTGTACAGGGATCTGGAAACGACTGTCCCAACTGCAGCACTGACGGATCAGCAGGGAACGGCACCTTCTTTTATACCCGCCTTGTTGATGTTACCAATGCGGAGCCGATTATGCCATCAAACCATCTGAAACTCAAGACTGAGAGCATTATCTAACACATTGGAGCTCTTTGTAGAGGCGAGGAAAATGTCTACAACCTGTTTTATAAAACCATTAACTCAACGCTGCTGGTATTGAATGTAGTCATGGCAATAAACAATTGACGCGTAGCCAACAGGTCATCATTTTACAGCTTTATTTACATGTACTAATGGATTTTCATGATATTTTGTGGAGGGTGCATATCAGTCTTTGCCAATGTGAGAAATTTAAGACGACTCTTATTCAACTCTACAAGGTCGTTTGTTGCTGTGGGTTCAAAAGGTCAAGGCCACTAGTACCTAAGAGGAGGGTCTGTATAAATGGCCACAAATCTACAGTAACTGTTAGGTACTAGTAATGTAAATGCTGTTGGAGATATCAATTTTATTTCATACTTTTACTCATGCCAAAACGTAAGACAGTATGCCTTTGTACAGCTTGTTGACACGGCTAATATTAGTATTAGACAGCTTCACTTTACTGCACACTTTATACAGTGCGTTCATCTCCGTTACTGCCCAGCCCTACCATGTAGGATTATTGGCAGCCGTTACGCAATGTTAGTTACAATTGTGACCCAGTACATAAAAACAAAGGTTAAACAAGGATAAGTGAGAAGGGAAACATAAGACAACTGATTTTGTGTGTGCTAAAGACGGGACAAGTGCATTAGTGCGTTAGTAATATTTACATATATACAAGACATGATGGGGTGGCTCAATGCAGCAGGGTCCTCGCCAGTTCAGTTTTGAACTGGGCAAGAGACCCCGCCTCCACCGCACCAGGCTCAAGTTCGTTCCATTCCCTGATGGTGCGGGGGAAGAACGAGAGCCTGTAGAAGTTGGTTCTGCTCGCGATGGCCTGCAGTTGGTGAAGGTTATTCATCCAGGATAAAGATAAATTGATAAAGCCGTTGAATCTTTTCTAACTGGATAACTGGCCGTAGTACTAGAAACAGCGAGATGCTAGACTGTCCGAGAGCAAGAACGAATAGATACAAGAACTCGCCCATACCATTTATGGTCCAGCTCCTCAATAACCATGGACTGAACCCCTGACTGTTGTTTTTCTAATATGTAGCACACTGTTTCTGTATCAAATGTTGTCCGCGAAATTTATAATGTATGGAACATGTATTTTTATTGGTTTGGTAATCGTACGTCTATATTGATTGCAAACCTGTAGTTTTTAATATACCAATGTTTTGTAAATTGGTCTACAATTCAGTTGTTTTTAACTGCGAAGAACCAATAAATCCATCTTGAATCTTGAATAAATTGAAAACCTTTGATCCTTCCAAAGTTGTCACTGATGAAAGAATTCACTAGGAACTGGATAAATTGAAATTTTAAACTTTATACAGTGACACAGTGTTGACACAGTGTTGACCTACTAAGTCTGCTGAGGGCAGACCTCAAGGAAAGAGGACTAGGACCATTGCGGTCAGAAAGAAAACTCCAGGAGCTCAGGAGGCTCGCGATGAACAGGACGAAGTGGAGAGAACTGAAGAAAGACTGATTGATGCTGCAGGATGCAGAGCTACTGCAGCAGCAGAACACAGTGAACTACTACTACAGTGTTGACTGCCATACTCATTAATAATCTGATATACATGACATACAGGCTAGGGCTAAGCACTTGTCTGTATGTCATGTATATCAGATGATTCTGATGTCGTAAAATATTCAAAAAGGCTGTGACAGAACCAAAGGCCGACAAGGATCGATCTGAAACAGCCTTTTCCGTAACAAGGCAACTGACTTTTGCAGGGCACGTACGGTTATCCCAAGATTGCGCTCAGTTTGCGACCGAAGTTATATGTGTAGGCTATAAACTCTTTTGCAGCGTTATGAGAATGTTTTTTCCTGTTACATGGTAGAAATGAGGTCGTGTGGCGCCGCCGTTAACGCATTTAACTCACACCCAAGAGGTCGCGGGTTCGAACCCTGCCCATGTCACCGATCTTGTGCCCCTGGGAAAGGGACTTTACACAAATTTCCTCACTTCACTCAGGTCGAAATGAGTACCTAGCTTCGGTTAGGGACGTCCCTCGGATAGGATGTGAAATGGAGGTCCCGTGTTTGGGGACCTCCCCACGCACGTTAAAGAACCCACCGCACTTCTCGAAAAGAGTAGGGGACCTTGCCGGTGTGAGTAGTTTAAACCTTACAGTCTGGTCTTACGCAGCTTGTACATGTACGTACATGTACAAAACTGGTGTGTTACGCCTAAAGGCGGTTTACCAGTTATGCGAAACAAACGTTAATTAAAAATGCTTCATAACAAAAATACCTTGATATGAAAGAGTGACACATTTGAGTGTTTTCCACAAGATTTCTTGAGAAATTTATTATTACAAAAACGCGTTACAAATTCTACAAGGCTTAGCATATGTACATACTACATACGAAAATACATGTTTCAGTTTCTGCGTAGTTAAAACTTGGCGTTAAGGTCATTTCATATGTTTGGAAGACAACATTCAAATCTTGGGTAAACATATCACCAAGCTAGGAGCCAGATCAGGCAATTGTGAGTTTACAAAAACTAGGTATTGCATACTAGTACTTATTTTGCTTGTATCAAATTGTCCACAAAATATTGTTCTTTGCCCTTTGATCAAATTCATGATTAGTTCTTTGTATCAAATTGTTTTGGTCAATGAGTTATTGCCATACGAAAAAAAAGTCTTTTACAGGTTTGAAACATACATTATTATTAGCCTGGGTACCATCCCCAGTAGTATATTCGCAAACTCTATAACTGGTTATAGAGTTTGCGAATATACTACTGGGGATGGTACCCAGGCTACATTATTATTACATTAATAACGAAATAACTGTGTCTAAAATGATTTCCATTTTTCACCAGAATACAACAATGTACAAAAAAAACAACATTTTGCTACCCCCTCATCATCAGTTTTTATGCAGCACATGAAGAAAATATAGCATTTTTGTTAGTAAACGAACATTGCATTATTGCTTTCAAAAAAATTGTAAATCATTTAAACACACAAGCTATCAGATATGAGAATTCAGAATATTCATGTTTCAAAATAAAAACTATATCACTTGGCTAAAAGCACGAACAACACAATTAACAACTAATATGTATCACTAGGACACAGTTTTAAAGGCAGCGAAGTTTTTATCATTCATAGAAAAAATCAGCCCCTTCATATTAGCAACAAAATATGGTTTATACAGCAAATTTTCTAAATTCAAATTAATAGGTATAAAAACGTGTTGCGTTGATTGTCAATGCATACATGAGTTTGCTACACTGCTTTACAATTTATTACTTTAAAACATATTGCTAGCGTTAGCCAGAACAGCATACAATTCTTTTTTCATTTGCAATTGAATTCCTTTGAATTGTGATTGGTCATTCATACCAGTTCTTGAAGTGTGATTGGTCAATTGTAGGCAATTTAAACCAATAGCAATTGAGCTGTCAGCCAGATTCTCTTACCAGTTGTGTCTCTAGCTGTGATTGGTCAATTCAACTGAACATGTGCAGCTGTGATTGGTTAATTCAAATTCACCTGCACATGTGCAGTTGTGATTGGTCAATTATCTCGGTCTTGAAGTGTGATTGGTCAATGGTAGGCAATTCAAACCTACAGGTTTGAGTCCACAAAACTTGACATTTGAGCCGAAATCTTTAATTTGTAAAACGCAACATCAATTTTTCATAATCCCTGAGCAAAGCCATTAACAAAGACAAACTAATTGATTTATTCTTAACTTTTTAGAATTAGAATTATTTCATTTGGGAAGAGTTTTACAGAATTCCAGTCTTAAGATTCTCACTTTCTCAGCATTCAATCATTAAGAAATTGGCAAGCTAATACACTTCGTCTAAAAGACATACTGAACTTTTGAAACATGCCCATAATTGAAACTGATACCCTACAATGTAGTTTATCCTTTGTTCAAATGCCCCTAAAATAATAAGAAAAAAAAATTATCCATTTCAAGTGGTTACCCTTACTCATGGCACAAAACAAATAGGCACTGTCCTGGCACTAATATATTTTTGTCAGAATGACCACATTGCCTCAATACGTCTGAAAAATTTCCCCAAATTGTATAACTTGTTTGTTTTCTCAGAAAAATAATTTTGAAGGGAATTTGAAGACATTTATGGGGTAGGGCTGGTTAGGAAGCTAAGTACAGTAGGTAGAACTGTAGCGTTGGGGTGGGCTGTAGCGTTGAGTGTGGCATTAAATGTTGCGTTTGTGGCCGCAACAACCATAGCTGCAGGCTCCTGGTACAACATGCCTGCAGAAAAAAACAACAAAATTGTAAAAACTCCTTTAAAAAAACAAAACAAAAACATTAATGGTGTTTATGATATACTACACAAGCAAAGTAAAAGCGAATGATGAAATATTTTTTTCCAATCAAGAATGGAAATCAGGGAAATTAAAAAAGCATGATATGGAAAAAAGATTAGCAATGGCGAACGATCATCAAAAGAATTAACTAGTGATTGCAAAGATCTAAAAAAGTACAAGTCTACATTCAAATACACTCAAACCTGATTATAACAAACCCTCATAGCTCTTTTCTCTGTGCCAATTTTATTTTTTTCCATTGGTGCAAGCGTGCGTTAAGAAACCTACCCAAGAAGTAGACTACCAGGCTTCGGGAGGCTAAATAGAGAGATAACATGCCAAGGGAGCTAATTTCTACTCTTTCCAGCTGCCTCCCGAAGCCTGGTAGAGGCTTAGAACCTCTGAGTGGTCGCTTTGGGCAGGTTTGACTGTATCAAGCAAACCTCTATACCTCATGCCCGTAGCCAGGGGGTGTGTAACAGTGGGGGGTTTATAGGCACTACCAACCGATCCGGCTGATGTGTCTAGACCTTTTAGCCGAATCGTTAGAGTGTCAGGGTGCCCGGGTTCGATCCCCGTCTCGGGACCACTTTCTGTTTCTACTCTCCTAATTCTTACAGGGGTTTGGAAGTACCATGGAGTTATAAGTAAAGAACCCCCCCACATGCTAAAAGGTCCAATTTTTATCTAAAGGTCCAAGATTTTTCTTTAAGAGGTGGACTGATTTGTATCACCAGCAGGCCTGGAACCCTTATTTTGTCTCTGATTTTCCTTTGAAATCCTCTCAAAAACACAGGAAACGCCATTTCAAAAGGTTCAATTTTCAAAGTTTTTCGGGGGCATGCTCCCCCTTGGAACCTCAATGCACCTACAGCACTCACTGGTCCCTCGGACAGTAGGAACACCCCCCCCCTCCCCCCAAAAAAATCCTGGCTACGGGCATGTACCTAACAGTGAGTTAAGAAACACCGAAGAAAAGAAAAGATACCTGCTAAAGAAGCAGTCATGAAACAAGCGACAGACCCCGCCACCAACCCCCTGACAGCCATGTCAGCTATGTCACCCCGTCTTTCTGGGGCCAGGGCCCCTATACCGCCTATCTGCACCCCTATAGCACCCAGGTTGGAAAAGCCACACAGAGCGTAGGTGGCTATAACTTCAGACCGAACCTGGAAAGAGAAGGGTTAATAATGTATAAGATAGTTGGAAGGAGAGGGGTTAGTGGAAAAAGCGGTCCAGTCTGAAAGTTGGAAAAGGCAGCCTGGTCCAGCCTGGTGGCAGAAAAAAGAGAGTTTGGTTGTGTTAGTTAGTAAAAGGGGGCATGGTCAAGCTTAGATCTAACCCATGATTCTGGATCTACTAGTTGGATCCAGATTCTGGATCTAGTTGTATCCAGATTTTGGATTCAGTTGGATCATGCGATCTGTTTTGCGTAGCCTTTTGATTTCAGCAACTTTTGAATCATTTTATCTATTCCTAGATGAATCACAATGTTTCAGGTTTTCAGTTGTGTACATTGCTTACAATTATGAAAACTGCCAATAAAAAGTACTGGACGAAGATTAGTGTACAAGGAAGTTAAAACCAATACTTTATTACCTCCTTGGAACAATCAAAAATTCTTGCAAAACAGATGCAAAAACAGACAACTGGTCTTAGCCAAGGTACCATCCAGATTTGCTTCACTACG